GAAATCTCCCTAATTCGTGCCGAAGTATCGCTCAGGACCGTATGTACCATCTAGTTGTGACAAATCCGGGCGGTGTTCGGCTCTGCCGATGTGGGAGGAAGCCGCGGTGGTATGCATCATGCAGCTGAACGCGAACGCGAAGCCAAAACCAGTCCATTGCCGAATCCTGGTTAAGGAAGGTGAGCTCGACATGGGTACCCAAACATCCTATCTCCGAGAGAATTGCCAGATCCCCGCTACCAGTCGCTCAATTGTTTACCATACTGCTGCTGCGTGTAATTCGATAAAGATTGCCACTATACCAGATTAATTTAATAGATCACACTCGATCTTTTCTTAGATAAATTATGCTTGCAGTTTCCGGTGGTATTATCAGAGCGCAGTCGGCATTTAGCATGCTTACTGTATCACGATAATCGAAAAACAAAGTATGAAGCAAAGCGTTGATCTCAACAGTGCGCGTGGATCCCGCTTCTGTAAACCTTGACAGAGCTACCTTTAAAATCCCGTTGAGCAGAAAGCGTCTGATTTTAGGGGCAGATGGGCAAGATACGTCTGCCTTGGAATTCAGACTTTAATGTATCTCACTGCAAAGGAATTCCAGATAACCTAAGAGGAAGGAAGATCAAATGGTTAAATATAAACATTTTGGACTTATCAGAAGCTAGGCGCGACGGATCTCGCGATATTGATAATGATTAGATGAGGGCTTGGTCGTCTTCTTTCTTATCAGAGCTACTGCAGATGTTTGCAAAGAATAAACCGAAGAATACGTGCAATTTAGCCTTGAATACGTGCTCCCGTGCCCGTAGGACCCGTGCTGCGACTACGTCTATGTCTTCACCTAGTAGTTCACACAACTAGCTGTGAACATGACGCAGAACGTAACGTCGTGCTACACAGAGTCAAGCTGAAAGCAGCATTCTGCTTCAACCAGAGAAACGTGCTTTGAAAGTAGTTTGAATAATGAGCCTTGAACACGATAAAGTAGGCTCCAATAGTAGTGCAATTAGTCGTCATGAAATCCGCTCTTCTTCGTACGCGTAGTTGTAATTGCTGCTGCACGTGCTGACGTTTTCAACGGTGAAAGTCTCCTCATTCTGGAGAGCGCTCTTCTTTCTTAGACGAGCCTCAAGCATAAAATCTCCGCACGCACGCTAAAGCTGCTCAACCCAAATGAGCACGTTGCAGCAAATATCGGTGAGGAATCTGGTGGTAAAAAGCTACACACATTCAAACACTTGCGTCTAAGGACACAGAAACACAAAATAAAAATAAATTTATCGCGGTGATATCTACATGCTAGCCAGAGAAAAACAAATCGACAAGGGTTACTTTAAGACCCCAGAGTCCTGGGAGAGTCTTTTCTTGCGGAAAATTCGGGTCGTTGTAGTTAGGAATAGGACGAGAGCGACGATCAACAGTGTCGTCTATACTGTCGACGGGCAGATCCCCACCTTCGTATATGTGCACGCTAGCACCACCAACTTATTGCATGGTCACGTCTTCGGCTCGATTATCTGGGCCATCGCTCAATGTTAAGCTCGCCGAAGAGGCACCAGCAATTGCTGTCGAGTGCGATTCATCTCATAGTTGTTCAAAAAGCAAGCACCAGTATGAAATAACGCTATCAGGGGGCGTAGCTGACGCATCCATTGGGAGGCTGTCATCATTAGAGCTGTCACTTGCTGTGACGACATCAGTGGGTCCCGTTGCAACAAAACGCTGCTGGTGCGTTGTATCGCACCCTGAAAAGTCCAATCTTTGCGTAGGATCAAAACTGCCAGGTTCAAAACGACTTCGAGTACTAGTATTCAATACACCACTCGTAGTGGCAGGCGGCTGTCGTTAAACACCACGTGGCTGGTTCCGAGTAAAAGGTGGGATACTCAACGACAATGGCAGACGAGAAATGACAGTCTGATGCAATGGTGTAGCATAAGAATTTCCGTTGTTGGTCCGGAATGGGCGCTCAGCTGCGTTGATAATACGACCGACGTATTTATTGCCCTCGCTATCTTCATCCGTCACTTCATCATCAGAGTCTGAGCCGGTATCCTTCTCCTCACGATATTTTTCTCGGACAGCTTGCCGCATCATTGCGGCCTTATTAGCTTTATCCGCTTTCAGGCAATTACGTGTCGGCGTGTGAATCCGTCCGACCTCGCTGAAATAGCGCTCACATGTTGCTGTATTTGCAGCAATTGACAGTACCGCAATGGCAAGATCCGGCAGGTTGGATTTGGGCTTCATATTTCTTGCGTAACTCCAATATCTTACGACGTCCTCGAACTCCTCAGGTCTCAACGGCCTCTTATCTCTTTTAAGGTAAAGTTCACCAGTGCACCACAGGTCCATGTGATCACGAAGTGTTCCAACATCACGTTCAGGAAAAAAACGCTGAAAGTAAAATACTGCGAAGTCACAGGCTGCATTGAGGGAAGATATATCGGTGTACGGCAGTGCCTTGGCTGTTTCTACGTGAAAAGGGTGAAGAAACACCGCCAGCATGTACAACGGCTGTTCGCAGGCTTTCCAACGGTCTTCCACGAGATTGACAAGTGCGTTTGCATAACGATCAGCAAAAAAACCGTCGAAGATGTCGCGATAACACAAGACGACGTCCACCAAGGTGTTCTCATCGCGTTGGAGGATATAGGACGCGTTGCAAAGCGGCCTGATTGTTTTTTCTGCCTCTTCGAGAGACGTCCAGAATGTTTCGAGACCGAACACTTTAACGGCGCTGGGAAGATCTTTATACGTGTGATACCGTATTTCGAATTGCTGCAGGGATGTCTTTACTCGGAGTAGCGAAGCAAAGCAGTCCTGGATGGAGTTCCAACGTGTATCACAAAGTGTGAGCAGAGCAAGTGGCTTCTGGCCTCGCAGTTTGTAGGTAGTAATCATAACCTCTTCAAATCGTGGGAGTCACTTTGATGATGACCGATTTAGAGCCTTGACGGCCGCAGACGCTTGTCCTGCGATATCTTGAAATTCATGGATTTTTAGGACAGCCTTCACTAAATTGTTGATATCATGAGCAAAACACTTGCCGAAGTGTATAGTCGGCCAGCGCCAAGCCAAGATGCGCCGTGCACGCGCACATTGACCAGCATCATCAGTGATTACGGCTCCAACATTCCATCCATCATTAATCATTTCAATGAGGAGCGCTTCCATTTGTCGCGCGAGAGCGACTCCATCGTGCTCGGAACCGACAGGCTTTAGCCCCTTGATGACCAATTTTCCAAACAAAACGAGATGAACCCCCAGTAAGTGCAGTTTGGCGATATTTTGCCACACATCACTTAGAAAATTTATGCGCCCTCCGGTTTTCTTCTGAGTAGCGCGCAGCGCTTCATCGCTTTCCTCGGCGTTCTCGTTGGCATATTCGTCCAGGATACGACCACCAATTGTCCGGCGACGAGGAATTGACCCCACACATAGAGGATTCAGGAAGTAAAAAAGGCGTAGCGTTGCGGGATGTTCGACGTATGAATCAGGTAAGGCCAACAATACCTGAAACTCCAGCAAAAACCTCTCAAATTGCCGCTGCTGGGCAGGAGTATACGCTCGCCGATAAACATCTGCAGACGAGCTACTCGTGGGTAGACACGTATAGCGATCGGGGTCGACATTGTCTTCGTTTCGATATTCTCGGCCCTGCTCGCGGCGAGGCGTCTGGTTAGCTGGCGCTGACTGAAAGTTTGAATGTGAAGTATTTGCGTGCGGCGGCAGGGGAGGGCGCTCTTGTAGGCGAGGTGTTTCAGGACGGGAAATGCGGACTTGGCCGTGTCGGGAAAGCGTTGGTGGCGGTGACAAAGATGGTGGGGGCCCTCGCAAAACGTTAGCAGGTTAATCTTCTTCCTCAACAATATTGTGTTCCCTCAGAAGGTGTCTCGTGAAATTTTCCTTCCGCCCGACAAGAGCATCAGGCAAAGGCTCTCGACTTGACGGGCTTTGGAGCTGATGTGCCTGCGCTCGCGCTTGATGAGCACGCAGACAATGCTTGCAGCGGGTCCAATAGTGGATCGAGTTTGCCCTTCGAGCTCCTACCTTCACGAAATGCTTACGAGCAGCTCTTGGTGGCCGGCCCATGAGTGATATGATTTAGCATAGAAGCTAATAACGGTTAATAGGGATAAAGTACAACACTGAATGTGTCCTTACGTTTAGATGGCTCTGTGGACTGCTGAAGAAAGAAGGTTCTCGTCGTTGGAGTCAATTTGGGAACTGAGGACTTTGATCTAATTCCCCACGTCGAGCAGGAGCAAATAGTCGACGTGAAACTAGTCTAGTGACACTGTAGCCAGCTCCTTCGCGGCGAGTGTTAGCTCAACACTGTTGAGACTCAGCCTGAGGAATCATCAGCGGTCCTTGAGTGCTTCTATTGGGGTTGCTGCGGTATGCTGAGTAGACCCTGAATTCAGTTTTGGTACACTGTGCCACGCGATTAGACGTTCCAATTTTCCATAATGACGTTTGTTCGTCGTATATACACTCAGGGAGGCGTTTTAACGCGTTTTTTACTTTGAACGTTTATACAGTCCTTGTCAGCACTGCTGCTACGTACTTAAAGTAGTACCTCATGTAGTACATGTAAATAATTTCTTCAACACGCGAACGATGAGTATGATAGGTGTCTAGTCGGAAAGAACGGCATTTCCTTACATTGGTAGCGTTGAACATGTATGTTTCCCGAAATGCTCAGGTGGGTTTAATGGCGATGGTTAAAATGAGAAGCTTTGTCCGCTGATGATTCGACAAGTGTAGGTTGAGGTGATGGTCTCGTCTACATTTCTGTCTTTTGTGTATTTTCAATATCCAACTTTACAATTCTATTTGTAAAAATACTACATGAGCTGAAGTATCAATGACTGCTGCCACAAAATCCAGAATCATGTATCCACCTCTCTGCGGACCAGAGGAAGCCACACTCCTCTGGTGGTGATTCCATTCCAGAATTATCCTCGATTTGCGCACTCTTCGACCCTATAGCCATGTCCTCGTCCCCCGTTAAGACCACCCACACACAGACGACTGTCACGAAGACGCACGTGCACTCGCAGGAGCCTAGCAGCGCCGGCGAGACGACCAAGAAGACGGTGACCACAACCACCAACAAGACGTACGTGTTCACGTCCGAGTCGGGCGAGGAGATCATTCTGGACCTTAAAAACGCGGCCACCACGCGTCCGCACGCTCGCAAGGTGAAAGGATCCATTGTTACCTCCGACTTCGCACAGAGCTCGTCCACCTTCGTGTTCGAGTACTCGTCGGAGGGCGCTGGGGCTTCAGAGCCCACCGAGATTTTCGTTCCGTACATCCACTTCCCCGGTGGTTACCGCGTGACGGCGTCGGACGGTCACTGCGCCATCGAAAAGCACGAGGGCTACGATATCATCAAGCACGAGCACGACAATCATGCGCACAAGCACCGCGTCGTGGTGGAGAAGACCAAGACGGTAGCTGCCAAGAGCTCGCGATTCGCCTGGGTGGGACACAGCAACATTCCCGTGTACGTGGCGTTGGGCATCGCTGTTGCCACGCCCTACCTGACGTGGTAAGCTCGCAGAAGAGTGTCATATTTCCTCACATAAACAAATTCTTCCGCTGGAATTTTCACTCTGTCGATAAAGCTGATGCGACCAATACAATACAAATTGATTCCTGTTACATGTACATTTGAGACCAAAAAAGAGTCCAGAGTTTAGTGAGGACTTGTGAAGCGTCGCCTTGGCCACGCGATCGTGCTGCACATTGACGTGACGAGTCAATGAGTCAGATGCTGAAGTGGGTGAATCAACAGGAAAAGGCAGTCACGCGTGAGCTTTTCGACGGTCAAATCCGCCGACGAGTGGTGCTGGTCTCTGTACAGTCATCAAGGTAACGTGGAGATGGAATGTCAACGCCATCAAATCCGCGTGGATGATTCGCGTTTCAACTTCTGCGTGTGCGTGCGTACAGTATCCACCCTCGTCGCGGTCTCCGCATTTTTCATTTTGCGCTCAAGAGCTCAAGACCCGAAAGACCAAAGATGTCTCTGACGCAGACGAAGCCTGCTCCTGAGCCTGAGGCTCGCGAAACGACGATCTTGGGCATGAAGGACGGACATTTCGTGGACCAACATGGTCGTGTCACACTATTGCGTGGTGTGAATCTCGGTGGCTCGTCCAAGCTGCCATTCGGCTACGGACACACCGACGATCAGGACATGAGCGACTTCTTCGATGGCGCCGCCTCCGTGTCGTTTATTGGTCGCCCATTCCCTCTAGAGGAGGCGGACTTGCACTTGTCACGTCTGCAGCGTTGGGGACTCACGTTCCTGCGCTTCATTGTGACGTGGGAGGCCATCGAGCACGCCGGACCAGGCCAGATCGACCACAAATACCTCAAATACATTCGTGCAGTTGTGGAGAAGGCTGCAGACTACAACATGCAAGTGTACATTGACCCGCACCAAGACGTCTGGTCCCGCTGGACGGGAGGTGACGGAGCCCCCATGTGGACACTGGAGTGCGTCGGCTTTGAGCCTCGCAACTTCGAGCCCACCAAGGCAGCTTTGTGTCTCGAGACGTGCGGACTACCAGCCTCCAAGTTCCCAAAGATGATCTGGCCGACAAACTACGCAAAGTTGGCGTGTGCCACCATGTTCACGTTGTTTTGGGCTGGCAAGAAGTACGCACCCAAATGTTACGTGGACGATGTGCAGATCCAGGAGTTTCTACAGTCGCACTACTTGGACTCGCTGGCTGCATTGGCTGAAGCTCTCAAGGGCCTCCCCAATGTTGCTGGTTACGGTACAATGAACGAGCCGTCTAACGGGTGGATTGGAGCGAAGAACTTGGTGAGTTCTGGTGGTTTCCGGAACGGCCACGCTCCGTCGCCACTCTCAGCTATGGCACTGGGTGAGGGTATCGCTCAAGACGTTGAAGTATGGGGCGCTGGCATCATGGAGATGATGCGTGGAAAGCCCAAACGTGTCGAGCATGTCGATCCTAAGGGAGTTCGCGCCTGGAAAGATGGCGCGAGTTGCATCTGGGAGGAGCACGGAGTGTGGGGCGTGGATGCGCAGGGTCAACCCCAGATTTTGAAGCCTGACTACTTCGCCGGTGTCGATTTCGGTACAGAGTTCTTCCTCCCGTTCGCTAGGAGATTCACAAAACGCATCCAGAGCATTTCACCAAAGGCTATGATCTTCACAGAGATGCCTCCGACCGAGATTGGCGACCTGGTGTTCCCAGATATCTCGAAAGAGGATATCCCACTGTCGGTCAATGCAATGCATTGGTACGATCTGATTACGCTGTTCACAACTACGTGGCGCTCGTACTTCACGCTTGACTTTGCCACGGGTACGCCTGCGTTTGGCAATGCGGCGCTTCGTGCGTTGCACCAGAAGCAACTTGCAAACGTTGCAAGCTTCGGGCGCGAAAAAATGTCGAATGCTCCGACTCTTATCGGCGAGACGGGCATTCCTTACAACATGAACCACGCGCAAGCCTTCGAGACGGGAGACTTCTCCGCTCAAGTGGAAGCTTTAGACAACACTATCTTCAACCTCGAGTCGCAGTTGTTGTCCTTCACTCTGTGGAACTACACGGCCGATAACTCGCATAAGTTTGGTGACCTGTGGAACCTGGAGGACCTAAGTATCAGTAGTCCAGACACAGAGACACTTGTGCGTCGTCTGTCCGGGGTTCGTCGTCGTGATGACTCTGCACGTGGCCTTCGCGCGTTTGCTCGTCCTCATGGACGCAGAATTGCCGGGATCCCGAGCAAGTCGCAGTTTAACTTGAAGGCTGCTGAGTATGTATTGGAATACACGTCCAAGGACCCGGAGTCTAGTGCTGTCACGGAGATCTACGTGCCGTACGCTCACTACCCTGACGGTTACCGCGTGACTGCCTCGGATGGCCACTTCACGATCGACAAACACGAGGGATACGACGTGGTGAAGCACCTGCATGACGGTCATGCACACAAGCATCGCGTCGTGGTGCACCCTACTAAGCCTCTGGGCTCGGGCTACTCCAACTGGCCTGTTTACCTTGCTCTCGCCGCCGCTCTTGTGAGTCCATACCTCGAAGCTTACACGATGTAGGTCGGAGCTATGAAAAAGCAATAGCAACACGTTGTCATTCATCCATCCACCCTTTTTAGTTCTCATAATTCACAGTAACTCCCACTTCATAATTCATCATCTGTAAACCATTCCGTGTGTGTAAGAGCACCTGCAGCGTGTGGACGCTTCGGTGCTGCAGATTCTTCAATATCTTCCATCATTTCCACATCCTCTCCAAACCCGCCAAAAGCTCCGTCCTCTTCTTCATCCGTACTGGGTACACCCAGCACTTGATACGACCGACTCGAGCTCCCACTGGAGCTTCGGCGTCTAACGAACTCATATCCACCCGTAGGATCTGTCGGCTTCGCTTCCAACTGCGTCTCCACGTTAGTCTCACTCTTCTGCTCCGCCGCAGCCTGATCCAACTCCCTCATGTAGCGTCTGTGAGCCTGATACCATTGGCGCTTCTCCGCCATCGACAGCTTCTCGAATTCGTGTGGCGTCAACGACAAATATGCAGGTAAATCCTGCGTAAACGGCGTCTTCACCGCTGTCGGTGGTCTAAAAACCACCAGTTCGTTACCCTGCGGAGTCGTCGGCGTCGTAGACGTTGTCTGCGCTGCCACCGCTACATAGTGACGATACATTTTGTCCATGGGTCGATGACGCTCTGCTGCCCCTGCAGCGAAGAAGCTGCGTAGACCTCCAACATTTGCCGCGTCTCCATAGACCTTCAATCCTGTCTGTTCTCCCGTGACGTCCATCATTCCGTCGCTGTCACTGCCACTGCCACTGCCGTCCAAGGACGGGGATTTCTCGCGTCCGAGCTCGTCTAGCTCCACAATTCTGGAAACTTCTGCAGCTTCTTGATTGGTTTTCTCTCTCACCAGTCGACGTTCGCTCTTGGTCCTGCTCTTATTGCTGTCAACGCTCGTGGGTCGACCACGTTGACCCTGTAGACACAGCTCGTCTAGTTGCTCCGCCAGCGTCCGCTGCCTCTTCCTGGACGCCGGACTGCGACTCAAAGATGAGCGAAAAGTCGACGTGTGCAGTAAAGAAGGACCCGATCCAGCCCCGTGATGCTGAAAGTAGTTGTACGAGTTCTGGCGCATTGTACGCGAGTCCAATTCCTCGATTTCGATGGCTGCAGAGTCCTCGCGCCGGCGGCGGACCCCATGAGCGCGCGACATCCGTACAAAGATATCGCCTGCTGTACGTGGAGAGGAAGAGGAAGTGGGTTCTGACGATGCCACTACGCTGGGCTTTCCACTTGGGCGAGCTGTGCTTGCCATCGCGAGGATTGCTTGAATGTGATATTTTCTCAAAGCTTTTAAAAGTTTTGACAATTTTATCAAGGAGCTGTGATATTTCAAAGCCTAATTTTCATTTTAGTTTGGTGACAACAGCCAGTGGCTTCAGCTGCACATGGCTTGTCACAGCTGCGTGGCTAATCCATCACTACCGTATTCACACCGCACTGGTATGCTCAAGCTGATGGATGCTAACTTCTTCTCTCACCTCTTCGAATCGACATGACCTCAAGCGCTAGCAGCTGACCGCCTCTCTTCTTTCTCCTACAGCTCGAAAGCGCGCTGCGACGCTCTAAGCCGTCATGGATCTCTCGAGTATGCGCGTCAAGGAGCTGGCAGAGATCTGCCGCAAGTTCGGTGCGTCTTTGTATCAGTCCGCGGCACTTTAAAGTATATTACAAGTGGCTCACAGCTGTGAACAGGTCTACGCACGAGTGGACGCAAGGCGGAGCTGGTGGAGCGGATAAAATCCAACGCCACTTATCAGGCAGACGTGGCGGCAATGGCCAAAATGGGGATCAGCAATGGACACAGCGGCAGCCACAGCGGCACCAAAAGGGGGTCGAGCAACACTGTGGGTATATTACGGGAGTCTATAGCTTGAAGCAGCAATCTAACACGGCGTTTGCCATGGCCTGTACAGTACACGAGTAGCAACAAGAAGCCGAGAAACGAGAAAGCTGAAGAAGCTGCAATTGATGCCGCATTCGCTCGCTTCCAAGGTACGTACGTCCAATGGCTGATATGAAATTATTACTTTTTACTTAACTTTTTTATTATATATTTTTTCAGATCCGGAAGCGGAGGAGGCTTCAATTACCGACGATGGCATCCTGGCCTTGTGTGACGCACTGGAGATCGATGCTCAAGACCCAGTGATGTTGGCGCTGAGCTGTGCAATGGAGTCGGCGACCATGGGCGTCTATACGCGCTCCGAGTTCCACCGTGGGATGCACAAGTTGGACTGCCAGTCGATCGAAGTCCTGCGAGCGAAGCTCCCAGTTCTGCGGCATCAAATGCGAGATCGTGCCGAGTTTTCCACTATTTATTCGGTGTGTTACACTGTAAATCTTTTGTACGTGATTAAAAGGCTAATACCTACTGACACTTTGTATGGTCAGTTCACGTTTGGGTTCTCGAAGGATCCGACGCAGAAGAGCTTGGCGCTGGAATTGGCTGTCGGGCTCTGGGACCTCTTACTGCCTGGCCATTTCCCATGGCGCCGTCATTGGCTGCAATATGTTTGTGAGAACTCACGCAGCGTTGTGTCGAAGGATCTGTGGCTGCAGGTGCTGGACTTTGGCCACCAAATCAATCCAGATCTAAGCAACTACGACGAGAACGGAGCGTGGCCGGTGCTCCTGGATGACTTTGCTGCTCATATGCTCGACCTCATCACCAAAAAGGGACTACAAGCCGTGCAACAAGAAGAAGATTCCATGTCTAGCGAAGATGACAAGGCCGACGAGGCTGAGAACATGATCGTGGACGAATAATTTGTTCCGAAACTGTACGGCGTGAAGACGTAACAGCAGAGTTTACGTACATGTTTCTCTTTTCAATATTCGCCTTATATTGTTGTTAACACTGATGTCCCATCTCTCGACAGCTGCAGCTCATCTACGCTTGTACAGAGTAAGCAGCGGGACGGCAACAGCAGTGACGGCCAGAGCGATGTACAGCGGAGCGTTGGCGCGTCTTGGGTCCCCACCAACCAGGCGTACGAGGCGAGACAATGACACGGTGTTTGTGGGCTTTGACGTCGTGCGCGTACGTGACAATGTCGTAGTTCTCGTGCTTCTTGATGGTGCATTGGCCATCCGACGACGTCACTCGGTAGCCACCCGGGTAGCGTACATACGGCACGTAGATCTCGGTCGGAGCTGACGCTTTCGTGTTGCCCGACACGTACTCCAGCACATACTCGGCTGTAGCCATAGTGAACGTCGACTTGAGAGGCACGCCAGTGATCTTGCGAGCGTACGGACGAGCAAATCCCTTTAAGCCACGCGCAGGATCATCCCGACGTCGCGTGTGGCCTCCAGCAAGACGAATCGCCAGCGCTTCCGAGTCTGGACTGCTGATACTCAGGTCTTCCAGGTTCCACAGATCTCCAAACTCGTGCGAGTTGTCCGCCGTGTAGTTCCACAAAGTGTACGACAGCAACTGGGACTCGAGATTCGAGATGGTGTTGTCCATGGCCTCAATCTGCGCCGAGTAGTCTCCGCTGATGTACGCACGAGCGTCGTTCATGTTGTACGGGATGCCAGTCTCTCCGATCAACGTCGGAGCGTTGTTCATCTTGTTCCGACCAAAGCTGGCGACATGAGCGAGTTGTTGTTGGTGGACCTTGCGTAGAGACTTGTTACCGAATGCAGGTTTGCCACTGGCAAAGTCCACCGTGAAGTACGAACGCCACGTCGTAGTGAGGAGCGTGATGCTGTCGTACCAATGCATGGCATTCACTGCATTCGGGATGTCCTCGTTGCTTATTTGAGGGAATTCCGTGTCGCCAAAGTCCACGGGGGGCATCTCAACGAAGATCATGGCGTTTGCGAAGACTTGTTGCAGTCTTTTCGTGAATGTTTTGGCGAATGGCAAGTAAAAGTCCTTGCCAAAGTCAGCGTCGCTGAAGTAATCCGGTTTCAGCACTTGAGGCTTCCCTTCGGCGTCGAAATGCCACACGCCCGCCTCTTTCCACACACATCCGAAGCCTTCTTTCCACGCTCGCACACCATTTGGATCCACGATTTCCACTCGAGACGGTTTACCACGAATCATCGTCCTGATTCCCGCATTCCAGACGTCCACATCTTGCGCCACACCTTCGCCCAACGCCATCCCTTGCAACGCAGTGGGCGCGTATCCGTTCTGGATGATCCCCACAGATTTGTTGAGGTCCTTGACGCCGATAAACCCACTCGAAGGCTCGTTCATCGTGCCGAACCCCACAACATTCGTCAGGCCCTTCAAGGCTTCAGCCAGAGCCACGAGTGAATCCAAGTAGTACGACTGTAGATACTCCTGGATCTGCACACCGTCCACGTAACATTTGGGTGCGTATTTCTTACCGGCCCAGAAGAGCGTGAACATGGTGGCACACGCCAGTTTACCGTAGTTTGTCGGCCAGATCATCTTTGGGAACTTGGAGGCTGGTAGTCCGCACGTCTCGAGACACAAAGCTGCCTTGGTGGGCTCGAAGTTGCGAGGCTCAAAGCCGATGCATTCCAGCGTCCACATGGGGGCTCCGTCACCTCCCGTCCAGCGGGACCAGACGTCTTGGTGCGGGTCAATGTACACTTGCATGTTATAGTCTGCAGCCTTCTCCACAACTGCACGAATGTATTTGAGGTATTCGTGGTCGATCTGGCCTGGTCCGGCGTGCTCGATGGCCTCCCACGTCACGATGAAGCGCAGAAACGTGAGTCCCCAACGCTGCAGACGCGACAAGTGCAAGTCCGCCTCCTCTAGAGGGAATGGGCGACCAATAAACGACACGGAGGCGGCGCCATCGAAGAAGTCGCTCATGTCCTGATCGTCGGTGTGTCCGTAACTGAAAGGCAGCTTGGACGAGCCACCGAGATTCACACCACGCAACAGTGTGACACGGCCATGTTGGTCCACGAAATGTCCGTCCTTAATGGACAGCACGTCCTTCTCCTTTGGGGGTGACATTGCGCACGTCTACTGGTCTTTTCAAAAATAATGCTCTGATGAGCTCTATGGATACAAACTTCAAGAAAAGAAATACAAACCGTGAGGTAAAAAACGTGGGGCGGGGGTTTACTAAACCCCAATTTTAATGCGTGACTATTATAACGTTAGAATAATTGTGGTGACTAAAACGGCGAGAAGTGGATACACTCGAGTTGCGTCTGTGGATGCAACAAGTTAGTTCATCGATTTCTGTGAAGCAGTAAGGAGATGCTGCAGCTTACGTGAACAGAATGTGGTGGTGGTGAAGGCATGCTGGTTGTATGAGCAGGGACACATTTGGTCCAGACCTCCGACGCCGTCGTCTGTGCATTCTTTCTGGGCTTCGTCCATGGCGACGACACTCGCAGCGGTGCCAAGTAACATATACTGTCGATAACTCTGGAAGCAGCAGCCGAGTTCCGACACAATGTCGTCACAGAGCGAATAGGACGTTCCGGCTTCCTTTACCAGCTCGCCTAGCATTGGAACTGGCGTAAAAAAACCTAGTTAAAACTGCAGATACGTGGCCAAGCAACACTACATTTTGTGCTGACGTACTGCAATATTTCCCGTCGACATTGGTTTGGCAGGCGATTTGGTACGCGGCACCTTGGAGCTTCCCACTGGCCTCTTCGTCGGCGTCGTCACTCGCGTAGCAATCATTGTCCAGCATGATTTTGTACTTGGCGTTGAGGGCGTCGTAGCATGAATTGCCACATAGCGACTTCTGATCCTCATCGCTTCGAGCATCCATAACGTCAGCTTCGATCAGTTCTTTGCAGTCGTTTGCCACCAGAGTGTTGCCCGCCACGCCGTTGGTTTCCTGGTCTTTGTTGATCAGTAGATTCCGAATCTCCTCTTGTGTTCGAGCACATATCTCCGCGGTCTATTGGAAATTCGCAAAATCAGTAGCAAGGTTTTAGTGCCTACAACTGAGAATTCCAGCTTTGCGTTCGTACCGTGGCTGTGTCAAGGCCACCCGCCGCATACACTTCGTGGATCCACCGTCCTCCACTAAGCAACGTTGCGCCAATCCAGAGAAGAGCTCGCATTGTGCTTTAACGCCAATGACTATCAATTTTCCATTTGAAGATCGGAAAAAAGTTGCCAAGTCGGTTATTAATACCGTCGCCTAAATTCTGCTAAGTTGCCTTCGTCGAAAGGGAATTTCAACTTCAGCATGGACACGGCGCACCTCTACTACCAACCGTCATCATGTGTGCCAACTACGACGTCACGAATGGATCACAAGCAATCGGCCAGAGCTCAAACTCGCGCTCGTGTGACTCGACGTCATACTAACTTAACCGCCATACCGCCGTCGCCACGACACTTTGAAGCGCAGACAGGCCGTCAGAATGTTGATCCATCCGTGGAAATGTTTCGGTCGCTTCGTGTGCTGGAAGAAGTTGCCCAAGTGGAAAAGAACCACCACGCTGTCCTACACGGGCAAAGTTCACCATTGACACTAGAAGAAGCATTTCGCAAACTTCGACAAGCAATTTTAGTCATTGCACAAAGCGGAAAGGGCCCGGGTTTTGACGGCTTGGGAGCTCAGGAAATGCTTGCTGGGTTGCAAGCTGCTTGTTGGCAGCCATTCACACCAGCTGCTACAAATGGTGGAAGTGTCCAAGTGAACCAGCAACCAAAAATTCTTTACTCGCAACTTCTACGCGGCACCGAAGAAATGTTTCATGAAGAGGGAGCAGCATGCCAGGAGTTACGGAATCAGATTCGGCAAATTGAAGAGCGCAATAATGAGCTTCCAAAAATGATCCAAGAGTGCCAGGCAGCTGTTGCACATGCAATGAAATCGGCAGTAAACAGCAACATATCCTTAGAGCGGAAACTCAGTAGTGCCAGTATTGCAGCCGGAGCCAATGTTAGTGCAACAACTGCCAATATTCGTGAAGATATAGCCGAGACAGGGCGACGAAAAAGCTTACGTACTTGGGCATGCAACGACCTCCGCGCTGGTTTGAACGACCTCACCACACGCCACAGCGAACTAAAGCGGCAAATGTCTGTTGCAACTTCCGAAGCGAAAAGGGAAGAGCAGGCCAACAAACAACGAGTGAAGCGACTTGAAGATCTTCGAACATTATCAACTGCCTCGTCACTGCTTCCAGCGAGTCGAGTGGGCTCTAAAACATCCACGCAACAGCAGCTTGCACGGCTCACAATGGCGCTAGCGAGGCATCAAGTTCTTCAAGAAACGCACAGAGAACGTAAGGCCTTATTGCGAGCTCGAACAGAAGCTATCTTTGACGTACGGAATCAATTACGTGGGCTGAATAATCAACGTGTCACGGTGGAGAAAGAATTGAACGATCTCGAAGAAGAAGCAGCAAACATGAAACGTGCCTTCACTCCTCGTCCAGAGTGGAGTGAGTTGCACGATGCCACAGTTGTCACTACTGCCGTGGATCGAGTTGACTTATCGGCACGAATACGCATGGGGGCAACTCGTAACAAATTATCAGGTGCCAAAGGCGCGGATCTGGATGAAGATCGAGCAAGTGAGCAGCGGATAATGCAAATCCTGGCGAGCAACTGGAGAACAGTGGAGAAGGTTGGGGCCATGGCAACAGAACTGGCAAAAATCCGATCACGTGATCACGCGGGTGACACAATTTTGGCGGAGCAGAAAAAACTCAAGCATTTGCATAAAGAGATTGCACGTTTGATGCAACAATTGGAAGCTGTTAAGGCTCAATCTGCAACCTAGAAGAAGAAAACTCAATATTTACGACTGGCTAAACTACCAAGAAAAAATAACGCTCACGAGTGGGGAAACTCACACAGCAACATGGTCTGCAGTGCGTAGCTGGAACAATGAAGCTACAAGGACCATGAACATGTTTCACAGGAAATTCACCGTCGGGTTGTACGCCAAGTGGGGGAGCGAGGACGCGTCGTCCCAGCCAAAGATGCCAGGATCTGTTGTCATTGCCAATTCTTCGGCCAGATCATGATCTGCCCACTCCGAGTAGTCACATGACGGCTCGTGCTTGGATTCTTCGTCCATGGACCAGCAGCTCGGCGCTCCAAAGTCAATAATCAGTCTGGAAGATCGACGCTCAATGGATAATCCAGCCATTGAAGGTTGTTGGTCGCTCAAATGCAAAGAAACTTGCACTGCGTCTTCACACAAAGTGTATCGAGTCTCTCCGACGTGATTGACAGTCTGGAAATCCGTCCACTGCGTTACCGTGCGGCCACGATCCAAATTGGCCAGCCAGTCCCCCATATTCACTGTTTCACTGCAGTACGAAGTCGGCAGAGCCGTCACTACTGTACTGTCAGGGATTGGAGCTGGTTCCAGGGGCAGAATCTCCACTGGCTCCAGCATCTCCACCTGTGGTGCATCCTCACGCTCTAGGTGGTCCACAGCTGCCTGTACCGGTCGAATCGTTGACGTTTTCTCGACTTGCTGTCTCTTGGTGCTCTGCACGTGCGTCTCGACCTCATCCAGTGGCTCAATGTGACGTTTCCTCTTGTATTCCTTGAGATTCGGTCTCTTTGCCAGCTTGGGCATGGGTACAAGACTCACAGCTCTGTCGTACCAGTTCTGGAAACTCGTGGCGTCCTCTTTGGCTCTGTTGCTGCGTCGGTCGTACTCGTCCCGGGCCCAAGCCTTGATGAAGGCGTGTCGAAGCGTCGAAACCTCTTGACAGAGCTTGTCGTACTCTTTTTGCGTCATTTGGGTGTTGCGACGCACGTATTTGGTCTTCCCCACGAACTTGTGGCCGTGCATTTGCTTCTTGGAGATGCGCATGGGGCAACAGTCGAGCATGAGCGCCAGGAACGAACGCAACGACATCTTGTGCTCGATGTCGACCAGTAACCCGTTCTCGAAGAGCCAGATGAGCTTGGCCAAGTACGCGTCCTCCTCTAAGCTCCATTTGCCGAACCGAACAGGCACGTTGCGGTCTTGTGCGCTCTGCAAGAAGGTCAAGACACGGTCAGTTGAGAGCTCGTCGTGGGTCGGTGAGAGGCTGGGAGGGCTCACAGCGCTGGAGGCGGAAGGAGTGCTGAAGCCCAGCGACCGCTTGCTGGGCGGCGTGCTGGAGCTCCGCGTGCGGTATCGGCTGGTGCTGCTGCGTGAGGACTGGCGACGCTCGGCCATTTGCACCACGAGTGCAAATTGAAAAGTGACGGACGGAGGGCGGACGGAGATAATGGACCTGTCGCTTTCAAGTTGCGTGGCGAGCCCAGATAGACGGTTTGGAGGCTGTGGATTTTGTGGCGGGGTGAATGGAGGCGCTGCTTGTGGGGGGCGCTGGGGCGGCTGAGAATGCAGCTGAGAAAGGGGAATCAGTGTCGTGCCAAGAGTGATGAAGACGCATGAAGGTGCTGGATGGAGACGCTGGGCTGTGATAGTGCTGGCTGCATGTTGCTGGCGTGTCGATTGGATATGCGGGTCAATCGGATGTGTAACGGTTACGACCACTTCAACGTAATAATCGGACGGTAAGATACGCTTGACAACCAATCAAAATAAAGTTGAAGCAAAAAAGCGTTGAAGCATTTGATAATAAATTGCATTAATCGCAGCATTGCACTAATACTACATGTAGTAATGAAATTTACATAAGATGGGACTGCTCACATTTCAACTTCTGTGTTGAAGACCGTTCTCCCCGCAAGTATGCGTAGCTATTAAGCGAGACGAGATCCAGCAGAGAAAGGAAACATGTGGCCCAGTCACTTTCGTGATATGTTTTTCTTGGTGCTGCCAGCTCGCCGATACGAAATTACTGCGTCATTCTCGACTCGAAAAATGACCAACGAGCCGGGTCGACGAGGCCAGCGCAACTTCATCTTCTATCTGTAATTTCGATTGCAGTATAGTGCATGACGAATAGCGTGTCGTCGTGCGACACGTTTCCCTTCGCTTTTCACGCCCGAACGGAAGTTGAAGTGCTTATGTCCTTTCGCGCTACGACCTTTTCGTACCTAGTGATGCGAAGCACGGTATCATCTCCACGTTCGCTTTTCTGAGCAGACATGCGACGCAAGGAGACCAAGGTGTTGTTGACGCTCGAAGAGGTGCGCGAGGCCTTCGAGCAGCAGACGCCGCTGGCCGTCAAGGACGCGCTGGGTGTCATTCATGAGGCGCAGTTCATCATGAACCTGGAGCCGAACCTTGTGGCCGTGCGGCAAAGAGCTTCAACATATGGTAATGCGAAGAAGCAAGTTGCCTTTGTGGCAGTAGGTGCATTGATAACTGAAATAAGGTCGATTACGTGTTCATTTGCATAGTTTTTGGAGATATCCATGGCCAGTTCTACGACCTGATGCAGCTGATGGACGCCGTTGGCGTTGCCGACTTGGCCGAGCGTGATGTCCAGCTGGTGTTTCTGGGAGACTACGTGGACCGCGGGGCCTTCTCGTGCGAAGTGATGCTCTATCTGCTACTGCTCAAGATCCGAGTAAGGAAACTTCATAATTAATTGCATTGGAACTCTGATAATTACGGTTTTTTGCTGCAGTTTTCCGACAAAGTTGTTCTCCTCCGTGGCAATCACGAGTGCGAATCGATTTCATCCTTCTACGGATTTCGCAACGAGTGTAAGGGGAAGTACGGCATCTCAGCCTACTACCACTTCTTGTCCTGTTTCCAATCGATGCCAGTGGCTGCGCTGCTGTCCACGTCGCGTGGGCAAGTTCTGTGTGTGCACGGTGGCCTCTCACCCGAGCTGAAAACAATCGAAGACATTCAAACTATGGACCGACGGCGGGAAATCCCTACCACGGGGCTGTTATGCGACCTTTTATGGTCGGACCCGAAGACTTCGCACACTCGCGATGTGGACGCAGAGGTGGACACTCAGCCAGGATGGGAGCCCAATCAGGTACGACCCCCCATAAGTCAGTACATGTATTGGTATGATTTCGACCTGACGCTACTTCACATTGCCGCGTAGGCCCGTGGATGCTCCTACTACTTCAATTCGGCGGCATTGTTCGAGTTTTTAGGCACCAACAAGCTGCTGTCGATGCTTCGTGCACATGAGTTCGAGGATGAAGGCTTCACGTATCACTTCAACTCGCAGGAGTATCAAGAGCTGGATACTCGAGTGGACAAGTCCATGCCTCCACTCATTACCGTTTTTTCGGCGCCGAACTACTGCGACAGCTACGGCAACACGGTACCACTGTTCTATTTTGCCAATATTTGACTTGAATTTCAATAATTTCTATAATATTTTGATTTGTAGGCCGCCTATTTGCTCTTCCGGAATGAACCTTTCTCGTGGGAAATCCAGCAAATTAACTCCGCGGGACATCCAGCCCCACCGATTGCGAGCGCAGAACGAGGATCCGACATGTGGCGACTATTCAATCAAACGTTGCCATTCCTCCCAGCAAGCAAGGAATTCTTTGAGGAAGTTTTGTGGTTAGCAGAAGGGTGCAGAGCTCAAGGGCTTGTCGAGTCAAACGCCGTGGTTGGGCATAACCTAATTGATACGGATGCTCCAGCAGTCGAAGGGGACCACGAAGATCCAGCAGAAAGACGACGACGTCTTACAAGTGAAATGCACCCACAAGCTATCCGAAAGATGTTGGATGACGAAGTGAACAAATGGGAATTGGTAGAAGAAACGCCAACGCGCAGCTCGGGGCCAGCGTCTCCTCCTCGAATCCACCGCAGACCTTCTTTGAGTAATCTGGACGAGACCCAAACGGACGAGCGTCCAAGTGTGAGTCAACTTTATTATTTTTTACAGGTTTTTAAAAGTGAACTAACTGCTAAGTGAAAAGTGAACTAACTGTTAAATGTATTTTAGCTGCTTACTCCGCAAGAGATGGACACAATTAAGCTGATGTTTTCATTAATGGACACGGATGGCAGCTTGGAACTCAGCTCGACTAAAGTGTCTCAGTTCATTCTCAATATTCTGGGTACGTGTCTGATAAAAAGCTAAAAATTGAGGTGGTAAGATAATTTTTTTAACGAGATTTATGTTTCAGGTGAAAAAATCAGCACTGCGGACGCGGAGGCTTATTTGGATGCTTTGGACTACGACCGCAACGGAGTGGTGGATTTCGCGGATATTCTGTCGTGGGTTGCCGTGATGAAGGCGAATCGCAACAAGCACGAGTCGAGCCGACTCCTGAGTTGGCCAACTGTACAGAGCGGTGTGCGCATGTTGACTCGTGGGATTTTTTCCAGTAAAGTCTTGCTATGGCTCGCATTCGGCTGCTTACTACGCGATATTATCGTCCCAAAGCAGCGAAAAGTGATCAAGTCGTCGTCGATCCGAGTGCTGGGCTCAGCGTCGCTAGTCCTGTACATGGTGGGCGTATTGTCAGGGCGAGAGCGTGGCTGGCTGCGGCTTTTCTCTCTGCAACGCGCTGTCGGAATTATGACGCAGCGATTCGTATCAAAGTAGAGAAGACTCTTTCAGTGCTACTTCTCTAAATTTAATATAAATTTATTCATCCTCTTCCAACTCGAATTCGAGTTCTTCCTCCAGTTCAATGTCTGGGATGTCACTAAAGTCGACTACGACGCCCAGCTTGTCCACGGCTTGCGTGAGGTACGTGAGCGTAATCTTCTTGTCATTAATTTTGTATTGCTCCTGGTGTTTGCGGTTGTCGTGCATGCAGTGTTTGCACAGCGTCGGGTTCTCGCTATTGGCCTGGAAGCCAGGACAAACGAGGCCCGTCGTGCAGATGGTGCACTTTGGGTACTTCGCGTTCAGGAGCGCCATGATGGTGGCGTGTTTGTGCTTGTGAATCATCTGGAGTTTGTCTCGTTTCTCGTCTTTCACCACTCCGGATTGGCGATCGATACTCTCGGCGTGTTGAATCTGCTCTTGTTTCCGTCGCTCTAGCTCTTCTCGACTTGGTCCGATGTATGGCTTGGTGGCTATGAGCGTAAACTCCCGACCAGCCGCAACTGATAGCAATAAAGTTAGTGCATGTTCGAGCATTCCACTGAAAAGCAAACTACGAACTGGAACAGGGCCGACCGACAAAGTCCTGCATGCCTTCGACTCGGCCAGGAACGGCACAGAAATTCTCCTCTAGGTCTCCCAGTTCTTCCGGCCTTCCCAGACAGCCATTCATGTTGCTACCCCAGGTGAACACCTGACCACGAGAAATATCAGACCAAATAGTAGTGCTACTCTGAAGATGTAGACGCAGTACCTCCTCGTCGACCGATAATGCCACGTTGTGGTACATGCCCGCGCATACCTTTTTAATGAGGGCGTGGGTTGTGAGGAAATCCGTCACTAGACCTGGTAATGTCGAGATTTGCCTTCCACCTTGAGCAAGCTTTGAGGAAACAGTGTTACTTCACAGTATACCTTTTGAGCATGTGCACTGTAGTAATGAAGGTACTGTACTTGTCCAAGACGACCACTTCCCCACGTATAGACCTGTCAGAAACATGTATTGGACCAGAGTTTAATTTAAAAACAAAATGAGGCCTACGTACCACACCGCCTTTCAATAATGGCGGAATTAACACAACTGCCACCGAGTGCCAACACGCACATGCAAGCTCCACAATGATATCTGTCTTGAGCGCTTCGACTAGTTTTGGATTCACGTAAGAGATATTGTCTCCATGTCCTAGACGACTGCAACGCATGATGTAAGAAAAATCAGTAAACCAGCAACAACACTTGATTGCTGCGCCTTACCCACCGTCACCGCTCCCCCACGTATATGCCTGCCCCTCGGAGGTCACCAAACCAGCGTGCATAGCGCCACAAGTAATCTAGAAAGAGGTATAGTTAGTATCTTTACTCTACATCAGTCACCTGGTTTGTGACTGACCTGGGTGACGCGTAGCTTTGCTATACTTCGAGCTAGACTGGAGTGATCACTCGTATTGTATGTGGCTCCGAACGCCAGCATCTCCCCTTTGTCCGTGACTGCAAACGTATGATTCGTACCAACATCGACTGCAGAAATGACACACGTCTCCGATACAGTTCTCTCCCACAGTCGCGGTTCCACACAATCGACTCCGTATCGTACTCGAGCTTTCCTTGACAACGCCTCTGATAAATTATGGACCGGTTCCGTGCCAAGCTGACAGTGATCGTTCTGCCCCCACGTGTACACATCTCCGTCCTTGGTTGTGGCACAGCAATGTACTCGACCCACAGCGATATAACTGATACCTTCGCCACAAAGTGACAGCAGCTTGACAGGATGGACGAAATCTTCCTCCCCTCCCTCTTCCTCTTGCTCCTCTTCGCTGTCACTCGGTTCATCAAAGTCATCTCGCTCCTCTTCGATTCTCTCCGAAGGCTCAAGACTTCCTCGTTTCAACGTATCGTCTCCGTCTTCAGCGTCGAAATCGCTGTCTTGGCCGTACGTCAGACTTGTAAGAGCAGCTGGAGATGATCCTAATGGGAGACCGGTAGGACCCGTCCGTTTACCCCAAACGTAAACATCACCCGATCGACTAGCAGCAAAGGCGACGTCCGAGTCAAAGCCCTGGACCATGAAGACACTATATCATTGCTTCCTAATCACAATATTCACCAATTCACATTTCTTACCGCGTAGACGTGTGCGATACTGCGTCCTCGAAGCTTTTTGATGATCCGTGGAGTGGCAGACGACTCGAGGTCTCCGTGGCCGAGCTGTCCTGCAAATCCTGACCCGAACGACCAAACTCCGCCAAGCATGTCGAGTTGTCGTTGGTACTCGTCCTCTTCCTCTTGTCGACGCCGGATTTCTACCATCGTCCATAATTAACCCGCTGTCCTTTGTTAAAGACTGAAAAACGATGACGTACCTGCTGCTCGCTGCTCGCTTAACGAGGCCGTAAGACGCTGCACCAACGTGCGTTTGCCTCCTTTCTTCGGCAACCCTCGGGCAATACAGGACGCTCGCAGCATCTTGGTCTTCATAAGCGTTAGACATCGTACATCCAGCTACAGCATTTTTAAAGCAGGAAGAGAGATGAAGTAATCACTTGACCTTGGGCAAAATCTGACAAACGCACCCGCTCCCATGCTTGATTCGTGAAGAGATCTTCCGTGTCTTTTATCGGCAGGAACAAGAGCTTACGGAAGTTGACGGCATCTTTACCGGTTGGCACTCGGAGATTTGGCGTCTTTCGTCGAAGGAACGCCATTTAAGCGCGACTTAAAAAAATTGCCTACGAAGCGACACAACCAAAAAATACGAAAAGACATTGCTAGTTGGATCAAACTCACAAACGAAAAATGTTGTTCCATTGTTCTCTTTTATACTGGAAGCTGTCTAGTTAGGATCTTTTATTGCTAGTGGGTTGTGGACTTGGTACGACAGAAGCTGCGAGATCGGTAGACCCCAAAGTGTCTACCCCTGAAGAATCCAACACTTTGTTATGTAGCCGTGTCCGTCGCAGAATGTGGACAGGATTGGACGTCTCGAAGTTCTCTTCATAGCTATCGATGAAAATCGAATACAACGTTAGGTCTGGCTGCGCTTAAATAACCACCAGTGGCACTACCACGTACCATTTGTAAGCTACAACGGGTAGAATGCAGGCTACCGAAGCCAGCGCGAAGCCAAGCCAGAACCCTTTTCTAGCGATCACCGTCCTCCAGACACCTTCGATGTCGCCAATGAAGTGATCGTACACAGCGATGCACATGAAGAACGCGCCCAATGATAATGCGTACGTGAGGCAGATCACCCACGTCCAATTCCACGTCTCGAAGAAAATCTGGAAGTGCACAATGGGTACAATGTAGAAGAACGACGCGACACTGGCTGCCCAGAACGAGTCCCCTTCGCCAAGGTTATTGTGCTGCATCAACATCAGAGGGACAGCTGTAGTTATCAGGGCGTGGCAAACTGCTAGTGTGGAGGATTTTGCCGTTGTTCGATGCGAGAAAAACATGTTGGTGGCTCCGAAGCGATAGAGCTCTGGAAACTTGGCCGCGATAGGCTCCAAAAGATCTGTCTCCATGACTGCCCGTACTGTCACCGGAAGTGCCGTGAAGACGACGTTGTAGGCTGTGATGTACAAGTCGCAGAAAAATGTCTACAAGGATTGCAGAATAAGCATCAAGGCTCACTAAAAACTACACAAAAGAAGCAAATATTTGACGTACCTGGGCTGAAAAAGCCGACGCAATTCCGTAGACAAAATGTGGCAACGTGAAGACGATATTCTTGTACAAAAAGTAGTCGATGCACTGCGTTGTTCGGAGATATGATAACCGGCCTGCTCATTTGGTAACAACGTCAAGGTCAGTGTTGTACCGAGAGTCCTATCCTATAGATTTGTGTACCGTGGTAAAGCAGTAATCGCCCTAAATGACTGAACTGCTGGACGGCGTAGTCGGCACTTCGAACGGCTTGCATACCCTCCTGACCCATGACGCCGACGCCAACATGAGCCGCTCGAATCATGCTAACATCGTTCGCTCCGTCGCCACTGCCATAGGCATCATTTTAGTGAATTATCATGGGATTTAGGCCAGAAGCGACAAGACCTTACACTGCGAGAGTGACGTCTGGCACGCCTGCTTTGACTAGCTCCACCACTAAAGCCTTTTGAATAGGAGACGCGCGGCATACGATAACTGTTGCAGACTGTAGTGCCAGTTTGAGGAAGCTCATGCGGTTGGCTGGGAGAAGTGCCAGCGTTAAAGCACTGCCATCAATTAGCACTGCTTGGCTTTCCTACATGCACAAATAGCAACATTAAGTCAGGGACCAACGTAGATCCGAAGCTGAGATAATCGTGTTCACCTTTGAGTTCTGGAGAGCTGTTTCAAGCTGTTGAGTCATTTCATGTCGAGTGGCTCCTTGGATAATCACCTCTTGCATTTTAGGAGTAACAACTCGACAAAGCTTGCCCATCTCGAGGGAAGTTTCGAGCTTGTCCCCCGTCAGCACCCAAATCTAACGAGCACAACGACGTTAAGAACAATTCAATGTCTTCTGAAAGTGTCAATGTAAGGCTACCTTAATGCCAGCTTTCTGAAATAAGGAAATAGTTTCTGGAACACCCACTTGTAGCTTATCTTCGACAGCTGAAATAAAAACGATAATTTATTATAATCCACCTCTAAATAAAAAATACTTTGAATACCACGACGTACCACTCGCTCCGATCAGAGTAAAGTGCCTCTCTATTTCGTCCACTAGTGCCTGTGTCTTGGCTTCCTTGGAATGGATATCCAATTCAGCTTCATCATATCGATCCTCCCACGTGTTGTAGTAAATCTCGTCCTAACCAAATACCAAGCGGTAAAATAAAGCGTCAATGTGTCCGTTGTGTTACACAAGTACGAACCAAATCTCGTTCGGCGAAGAGTAAAATCCGATAGCCCTCTTCAGCGAATTGTGTCGCATGGGCCATGGTCTCTTCCTTACTGGACAAAAAGTGATCGCAACGCTCTAAAATGACACTATCTGCTCCCTTACAGAAGAGCTTGATCCCTCCATTTTCATCTCGAACAATGATCGTCATCCGCTTCCGGTCACTCGAAAAGTGGATTATCCGTAAAATCTCAAACGTGAGCGTGTACGCAACTGTTTTCAAGTGCGACCCGTGCCGGTCTTCTTCCGTAATCGCCACGTAAAGTTTGTGTTCACATCGCTCAAACAGCCGAACGCCCATAGCTTCCGCGCCACGAACTAGCGCACATTCATCGGGAGAATCGGAATTGTACGACAGCGCGCCAGTCGCTCGGTCGTATTCGCACACAACCGTATGACAGAGCGACATTGCCAATGCGAAATGACTCTCGCAACTATCGAGATTCTTCAACACGCGACGAAAATACGAGATCGGAGGAAGGTCGCTCGGTTCGGCGTCTTCGCTATGGAAAGTGCTGGTCTTTGTCGTACCAGCGCTTAGCGCATCCAGCGAAGAGATGGAAACGCCACTTAGAAGCGACCGTTTCTGCTTGGTCACGTAGATCCCCCCACCCACGCTACATTTGCGAAACACCATTTGGTTCTGCGTCAAGGTGCCTGTTTTGTCGGTGAAAATATACTTGACCTGGCCCAGTTCGTCCGTTAGAGACGACGTGTTCGCCATGGCTCCTTCCCCGTTGTTGTTGCGCATTTTGTTATCCCACGTGATGAACTTGGCGTGCACCGTTTTGATGATTTCGACCGTCACTACGAGGGAGATGGGGATCAGCGTATTCATTAACACGATGAAGGAGAGGAAGAGCAGAACTGATTCCAGAGACTCCGAGTGGTCGTCGCCCACGTGCTGCAATACGCTCGCATCGAAGTTGAAATGGTGCACACACGCAGCAATCGCACATAAAAGGACTTGAATAAAGAAGACAAATACCACCGTTCGACTCATCCGTAAGTCGAGGTGACTGAGCTTGTGATGCGCCGCTCGCGCATTTTTCATCACTTTGGTGTCGTGACCTAGCGAGGAGGATGGTGAGCTTTACATAGCTAACGAGTGATACAAAAACGGACGTTTACCTGTGTACACCACGAGCATCATGACCCACTTGGTGTTCATAAGTGTCGAGCCGCGAGGAAGGAATTGTTTCTCGCTGAGGCTGTACATTTTGGACTCAACGGAGAGGTTTCCTGCGAACCGATACAGATCCTGGTCTGGCTGCTCGCATTTGATAAAGTATTTCTCCTTGTCGGGTGAGGTTCTGTCAAACACGAAACTCGACGTGACACGTAGCGATGCTCGCGATTTCAGGTTGGCTTCTCCGTCCAAGTTACTGGTGTCGATAAAGCAAGAACCTGCAGTGAATGTTGGTCAGTAGTTTAGCCCTTCACTCGCTCTACAAGTATCTTACCGTTTTCCTCGCTACTTGCGAGTATTATCCCATCCGCCGGAAACGCTTCCCGCTCATGTATTCGAGCGAGATCGCCAACCTACACAGCGACACCAGACCATCAGACCACCTCGTCGCTCAATGTGCTTTGCTGTGTACGCACCTGAATGGATTCCCACACGATACGCTGCTCTTCAAAATTCCTCAAGACAAGCACCGGTTTAGCGTTGATCAAACTATCAGACAAGCGCTTTTTCTATCGTTCGTTTGAACAGCGTGCGTTAGCAATCTTCCACGCACAAATCACGATGGAGCGCCCACTCACCCTATCTTCAATCGCTTCTCGTAGCAAACTAACACTAATCACCATTACCAGTGGCGCGATCGCCGTTACCGGCGTTAGCGGTGAAATCTGTTTAATGGACTGCAAGATGGCGATCACTAGGAAGTACAGATTTGCCGACTGTGCACACGTAGCATCAGTAAACAACCCCCAACCTTTTTTAAACGGATAGAAAGATTATGGCGTACCCGCCGGAATTCCTGTAGCAGACAAAGTGGCAGAAAATTGAGAAACGTGTACTTTGAAGTGTGGATGGCGTTCGAGATGTAGGTGGGTTTTTGATGCGTTCGTTCATCGCGCTCTATCTGGAAAGGGTCCACAAGGCGATACGGTTGGCTAAGCACGGTACCACGTCTCTCCATTTCTTGACCGGAGGGTTGGTTCGATCCCCACGACTGCGGTTTGACTGCAATCGTCACTTTCCTCGGGCCGTGACCCCCGGGGTTGCAACCCTCGTCGGGGCACGTGGCTCCCAGCTCTGCAGCTCCTGTTATGGGCTCGCCCTCTCGAGATACCGAATCCACCCTCAGTGTGCTTGGAGTGTACGAATGCTGTGAGTCGAGCGTTCTTACGATGATGTTGAGCCAAGAGCCATGCAGAGCGAGAAGGAGCAAGAGACTCGGCCGCGTTATTGCAAGGGGTTTCAGGCTCCTGGAAATTGAATAGAGCGAGCGAGTGGGGAGGCACGCCGAAACTTAAAAATATAAAGTAATTGCTGCCGTTACTACCGCTATCTCTTCGCCACATGCACGACAAGTATTTATACGCTCGTCGGCGAACGCAACCTGCACACAATTCTACTTCAGCCTCTTGCAAAAACAATACCAGCGTGGTGACCATGTCGAAACTGTTCGCTCTGTTGGATGGCCAAGTTGTCCACTCGCTTACCGGTAGAAGACTCCAGTTATTATCATGCCTGACGAGTGAACGGGAAGCTCTGCGTGACTGTCGATTCAGTGTAGTATCCCGCAAAAGATAACGACGCAAGCTCTAGAAGCTGGGCAACTTCAACTTCATGTGACCGGCTGGCATTGTCAAAAAAGTGTGTTTAAATTAATTTTGAGAACGCTGTTAAAAGAATTTTCAAAGTTGATTTTTTTCGGTAAATGCTGTTTTGTACCTCGAAGTATTGTAAGATTTAAATTCATTTAGAAACATGATGTGGAAACACCTAAAATTGGCGTGTGTTTTGTTCTGTCATCTACGGTACATGTATAATACATGTAATATTGATGCTTGCAAACCTCATACCAGTGTCATTGCCGGAAAATGGTACGACGTGTGGCATAGTGACGAGCTCTCTGTTCATGACGCGCTAACGTTCCCCCTGTCACTCGGTACGTGCAGGCCAACCAAGCAGCCAAGAAGGCTCAGCGTGCCAGTGCTTCGCTGAGCACGCGACTGCAGCAGTGGATCGCCCCCATCAACGTGCTGTACTTCCTGTACTGCATTGTTTGGCATTACAGCTCGGTGACCATGTGGACACTCGTGGGCTACGTCTTCCTGTCGCTGTCCACCTACCTCAGCTACTCGTGGGTCGTTGGTGCAGCTGAGGAAGGAGGCAGCAGCGAGTACGTACTGGTGGCTCTACTGGACCCTCTGTTAGTTGATACTATTTGATTCGTAAGACTGACCTAAAGGACCCTTGTGTTCTGTCCTCTGACGTCCACATTAGATATGCGATGGACGTCCTGATCGTCACGCTATTCGTGCAGGCCGGACTTTTGATCTCCAGCTACTTTTGGCTCGTGTACCTCGTCATTCCCGGCTATTTGCTGTACCACGGCGGTCGCATGCTGCTCAACTACGTCTTCACGCCGGATCCGACGGACGAGGACGACCCTGCCGCCTCGAAGAAGAAAGAAAAGGCGGAGCGCAAAGCTGCGCGTCCCAAATTCCGGCAAGGGCGTCGATAGGCAAACAACTTAGACGACTGCTCTAAGGAACTGAAAAGGAAAAAAAAAGAGCTCTTGACATGACAAACTTGTGATTTAATATTTACAAATTGCTGGCGTGTTATTACATGTGTCGGGCAATGTTATACAGCTGACGCGACACGAAGTAGGCGACATTTCCTTTGAAACTTCATATTTTCCAAGGGGGACGAGCATTTTCAGCTCGTGAGCAGGAAGACTGACGCGGTGTGCTGGGCTTCGATGCCGGTTTGTCTTTCGTCGACTGCGCTCGTGATGATGTCGAGGAGCGTGGGGTACGAACGGAGTCACTTGTTTGCTGCGGTTGTTGCTGCTTCTGGACCTGCGTCGCGATGGCAGAAATCGTCTTGGGATGGAAGGGGAGGCTTGTTGGCGCGTCCGGATTCTCAAACGGATGGCGAGCGATCTCGTACAGAAGATCTCCGGGTAAACGATGCAGCAACTGCAAGGCAACCGAGATAAGCAGGTCTGATTGCAGAGCAGGCGCACATCGGAGGCTCAGGACTTTCATCAAGTCCATGTCCCTAATTGCCAAGAGCAACATGAGGCCATAACATTTTAGATTTAGGTAAAGATGACTGCATAGCGGTAAGAAACCTTCAAGACGTACAACTTCAACAACTGCTCGCGAAGTAGTACTGTATGCGCGACTGCTAATACCACGACAAAGTGAACGCCCACTGCGAAAAGCTACTTGCAACAATGAGTAAGCTGAAAATTTACCATCAAGCACGATACATGAATATTCCGTACCACATCCCAGACTCGAAGAAGCTCATGGAGTGGCGGAACGCAAGCGAACAAACTCAGAATGAGTGGCAGAGCGTATATCCGCGCCGTGATGCCTCGTGAAGACAAGTGTTGATACAAATCCGGATCCAGCTTTAACAAACACACCCATCAAAATGTCAGCAACGAGTTGCCTTTGCTAAACCCAACCGCAGTTTCTAACCGTTTCCAGACATTTATCAACCAGAGCGCAACCTTTCTCGACGCCTTTCAGCTGTGGAGCCATGTAGTGTGGACAGTGCCGCACTAGCAATTGACAGAACGTGTGGTATGCGTCTGCTTCCGGCAACACATACAGCAGTGGTGCACAGAGCACATTCATTCCTTGCACGTATCTTTTTACCCATCCAAAAGTTAGAAAAGTGAAACTTAACCCATCATTGCAAGTCAATTTTGCCACACCCACCTGATCGACGGCAAGTTGCCATTTCGAGCAGTTTCTCCGTCATCTTGTTTCTCCTCCCCAGGGTTCGACCCCAATTCGTTGATAAAAACGTTCAACAGTCGCACCAGTTTCTCTTCCGGCACGCGTTGTGCAAATTCCAAATCTCCTCGAAAAGTGCGAAATGTGTCATTACGGATGTCCCCGTCGTAATGCGACGCTCCTCTACCCACAAGCGCCGCGTATTTCGTCATGTCCACGTCGTTTTCCACCCCTAAGAAGGCCTTCCACACGCGTCCTCGCAACGAGCAAAGGCTGACATTGGAGCCCTCTACGTCGGTAACAAAGCCCTCGTCCCGAGGTAGTCCATGTACGATCACAAGCCGCTTGAGCTCCCGCCAGCGCTCGTAGTCGGCGGTGATGGAGTCACCGGCCAGAAGCGCGTCGTACTGCTGCCGCAGCTGTGCATCCGCCGAAGCACCAGGCTGTGCGTCCATCGATGGCGAATAGGTTGACTTTCGTGTCAGTGATTGTGCCGTTTGGCATTGCATTTTGTGTAAAAACTAAAGTTTAGCTAATTCATACCCCACTGAAATGTGGTTTCGTTTACGCTAAAAAAGGTGTCACAACAGGCACGCGCCTTGGCCCAAACTTTGGTGCGTGGCAGGCCTTCGCTCGCGTTGAGCTCTGAGCGTGGCGCTAAGTGTATGCTTCCTTTCGTGTTGCAGCTAGTTGCCGATGGAAGGGGAAAACGCGGATTTTAGCGTGGACGTTGGTGTGCGCGTGCTGGTGCGCGGCAAATACGCAGGGGTGGGTTACTGGCAATCCTACCTTCTTTTCACTTGGCGCGACAGGGGCCCAATTGCAACTGGCAAAAATGGCAAAAAGTGACAATTGCTCACTTTATCTTGAATTGCTCAGGTAATTCGCTACGTGCCCGAGCGCCGCACCGCCCTCGTGGGAGTCGAGCTCACTCGTGCACGTGGAGACAATGACGGAACCGCAGAGGACGGCACACGCCTCTTTGAGTGCAAGCCACTGCACGGCGTTTTCGTCCGCGAAGAGCAACTCAGTGTAAGTTGCCTTTTCCTCGGTTGCTGCAATATTTTTTTGTGGCGGCAACCGACTGAGACTCTTTCATCGTATCTTTTGGGTAGGCTTTTTCGGAGGAAGATGGTGCAGCTTGTGTGCTGCAAAGTGTGTGGCGGCGGTACAGCGCGTCACAAAAGTTCCGTCATCTTGTGTTTTCGCACGCTTGGAACCTACTGGACAACACACAAGAACAACTCAACCTCAAACGCTCCGAGCAGCTCAAGTCGGCGGAACACACACTCGCGCAACTGACCAAAAAACAGGTTCGCCACAAAAAAATATCTGTTGTTTTTTATCTCTCATCTAACCGAAAATTCAGGCTTTGAACCGAACAGTGTCCGACGTTGCCGTGTCCGAGATCAAAATTGATCCGGAATACGCGGGACCTCACTTGGTGTGGCCATTGGAGCTAGCAAACGTATTGGCGATCCTGGACTCGTTCAAGACGACGCAGATTCTGCACCACAAATACGTGCTGGAAATCCTAAAGGAAGGCGTGCGATCTCTGGCTCCGTTGCCAACCTTACAGGAAATTACACTTGTGGAAGGGGAGAAGATCACAGTGGTGGGAGATCTGCACGGCCAGTTGCAGGATCTCTTCTCCATCTTCTCGATCAACGGCCTCCCCACTCGCAGCAACAAATATCTCTTCAATGGCGACTTTGTGGACCGTGGCATGTACGGCGTGGAGGTGGTGATGACCATCCTGCTCTTCCGACTCCTGTACCCGACCAGCGTCTTCCTCAACCGTGGCAACCACGAATCTCGTAACCAGAACTCGTGGATGGGCTTTGAGGACGAAGTGTGGGCCAAGTATTCAGGCGCGGACGAGGACGATCTCGAGCGTCCTGCACGAGTGTTCGAGTGTTTCCAGACCTTGTTCGAGTCCACGCCGCTCTGTGCTGTGCTCCAGCAGAAGATCTTCGTGGTGCACGGCGGGCTTTTCTCTCGTGACAATGTGACATTGGCCCATTTGCGGGGAATTTCACGAAAGCGGGAGCCTCCTCTCCACCAAGTGAACTTTGAGGATAAAATCTTCGAAGACATGTTGTGGAGTGACCCGCGCTCCATTCAGTCTCGTCAGCCTTCGGAACGTGGCGCGGGCGTGGAGTTTGGCGTGAGTGTCACCAACAATTTCTGTCTGGTCAACAAGATCGCGTTGATTATCCGCTCGCACGAGTGCGTGCTCGAGGGCTTCGAGATCCTCCACGGTGGTCGATTGATTACGCTCTTCTCCGCGTCGAGATACTGCGGGACGCAGATGAATAAAGGAGCCTTTTTGACTCTGGGACCGGATCTTCAACCGGAGATCCAGCAGTTTTACGCGCACTCCATCAACGAGAGCACGTTCAAAGCTCCGGAACAAGCCCAGATGCAGGGAGTGTTGGAGGAGGATACGCTCCGTATGATAGCGGAGCGTATTTGCGACCACAAGGCCTCGTTGTACTGGTACTTCACGCAGCATGACGAGGAGCACAACGGTACTGTGCCTCGCTTGATCTGGGCCGAAGCTCTGCGGTCGGTACTGCAACTGGATCTGCCTTTCTTGACGTACCAACCGAAACTCGCTGATGTGGTGGACGAGACCTCGACACGTATCAACTACTCGCAGTTCCTGACTCGGTATCGTATTGAGAACGACGCCATGGACAACAGTGGGTGGCAAGAGAGCATCATCGCGTTGATCTGCAAGAAACTGTACCGTGCGATGGGCGCCGGCGACATGCAACAAGCGTTTAAGGTGTTTGACGCTGACTCGAATGGCTTCATCGAGTACGAAGAGTTCCTCAGTACACTCAAGCAGATGGACACGGGACTGTCGGACCAGCAAGTCTTTGCGCTTATGCGTACAGCCGACACGAACGATGATGGGCGTATTGATTTTAACGAGTTTGCGCAACGCTTCGAGGTTATTTTCACAGACCAGGGGAAGACCGAATCCTCTCAGAATTTATCACCACCTCCGACCCCGATGGACTTGTCGACGGACTCGGAGGACGTGAAGCCCGAGACCCCCATCTTCACACGTCGCGTGTCTTCAGGGGAAGACCAGTCGACGTTTACGCCGCAACCGGCAAGTAATCTGGACGTGGAGACGATGCAGGCGTTGTTGCAGATTGGCAAGGCGCTGTTTTCTCGTCCTGGTTCACTACAGTATCACTTTTACCACTTTGACAAGAACCAAGACGGTGTTCTGTCGCGTACTGAGTTTGAGCATGCGCTGGAGCAATTGGGCTTCAATTTCGAGCCTAGTCTGATGGATCGAGTCATGGCGGCAGTGGACAGCGACGGTGGCCACTCGATCGACTACAAGGAGTTTGTCACGGCGTTTAGCGTGCAAGATCTGAAGGAACAGGAAGCACTGGAGTCGGGCGACCTCACGTGGCAAAACTCGGTGTTGCAACAGGTTTCGAATGTGTTTTACCAGCATCGGATTCACATTCGGAACGCCTTCCGGATGTTTGATGCGTCGAATAGTGGCGTCATCAGTCGCGACAATTTCCGGACGGGGATCCAAACATTCAACGTTGTGCTCAACTCGCCACTGTCGGATGACCAGATTGAGGAGTTGCTGAGCTATCTCGACAGCAATCAGGACGGCGTGATCAGCTACAAGGAGTTCTTTGACGGCTTCCGAGTCGTGGATGTACGCGTCGACGAGGATAAATCCACCGAGAGCAAGTCGTCGGAGGAGACAAGCGACTGAAAAGTTGCAGTTTTGGCTCCTTGGAGCAAAAGATACGCTCTGCAAATGCAAATTAATAGTGGCAAGTTGTGCATTTGTTGGTGTTTGTTGCACTTTTAGGTTGATAATTCGAGGGCCTTTTTGATGTATTTTGCCGTTGCCGCAACTGCGCTCCGTCCATCAGTTGTGCCACTCAGATGCAATTTCTTGTGAGTGTTGCCATAATCCAATTCGAGCACAGTTGGATCTTGTTCACTATTGTACACACACGACGAAATCGTGTGCGAAAAGGTGGCGAGTTTGCCTTCCTTGTTCACGCTGAAGCAACTTATGTTGACTCCTGAGAGCACGAAATACCGTCGCATACGCTTTCGCTTCAGCAGAAGTTGCCGCCACCACGGAGCTTGCACGTAGAGCCAAACTGTGTGCGTCCGTTCCGGGTCTCTTTCATCCATCACAAGAGGAGGCAACTCCCTTCCTTGCGGTCTGTTGGGTGTCGATAAGGCCAATGGGCTGTTCATTTCTGGCATTGTCAGCGCTCGCAGTCGCTGCGCTTCCCCCACTGCTCGCTGTCTCCTGCCTATTCTTGCTCTGGGCGTGACAATTGTCGCTCGACGAGATGCGGCAACATCGTGACTTTTTGCCACTTGTGTCGCTTTCACAATTGCCGCAAAAGTCCCGTACCAGTGCTCAAAGTCGGCACCAATACACGTATGCAACAACACCGTACGATCCTCATAGTCTGTGAACGCGAACGTCTTGTTTCGTGAGTGCACCCGTCGGACAGAGATGATGACATGGCGTCCGACAGGTCGAGCTCTGTGCTCTGCATCTTCAGAGGATTCGAAAAACTTGCAAACAAGCTCCTCGAGTCTGCAAAACCGCTTGGCAAACGCCACTCGACCAGGTCCAGAGGTCGAAACGTGCACCCAACCCGAATACACGCCCGTACTGGAGTTCAGCGTCAACACTCCGTCCGCTGTCAACGCCTCCAAGTCGAGCTCATCCAAGTCAGTACATCGATCTGTGTCTGCGGATGAAGCTGTGGAGCCCAGTGACAGCGCCTTCTTCCATCGAGGACGCATCGCGGGCACGTCCATTACTCGGCTGTCGGTCGAGCTCGCGACTGTGGACGAAGAGGCTTCGAGACACTCCATCGCAGTCGTGGGCGTTTCCGTTATGACACGCCGTTACTCAGTGGATTCAGCGCAGATTTTCCCACTGGGGCCATCTGCAGTCCGTTGGCCGGATACTTGGCAAGCATGTATGAGGTGGAGCCTGCGAAGCCCACGTGCCGTTGTTCCACCTTGCCAGCCGGTAAGATTGCTTCGACGTGGTCGTGTCGCTGGATGTGGAATGATGAGCACTGATTGGAGAAGACTCGGCCGATTTTGGTCTGACTCGTTGGCTGCTGCCACAGAACTTCAACTTCTAACGTCAGAGTTCTTCAAGTTGAGCACCTTCGTGGCGATCCTGACGCCCCAATGCAAGTGACGAGGACAACTGTAGCGATGAAGAGAGGACTCGCTAAATAACCAAACGGCTTGACAGCCTGAACCTGTCAGACGGTGTCAACAGAACACCTCCCCGACATGCAGCAACAAACACTTGTCGTGTGTAAGTAAGGCCAATCTATCGAACAGGTTGGTAATGCATTATAGATACTGAACACGGTCGCTCGACGAACAGTGTCCATTCTCAATTCTCATCGAACTTCGATTCGATGAAGGCTTCTTGGAAAACTGGAGACGAGAGCAACATCGCCGACATTTACTTTAGGGATGCTGGTTGCTTACGCAGAAATTGCGATTCGCAATGCCATGTACTTTGCTGATCAAACTAAAAGTCTTCTCTGCAATGCATAGAAGACTGTCAGTTTGAAGTCTGTTGCATCGATGCTAGGTATCTGTAAATGTATTTTATATATAATAAACAATTATCTGCAATTGTAACAACTGTTAGCAAAATGCTTATTTTCAAACTTGGGAATACAAAATGCACGAGGCTTTAGAGGCCTGCGGCGAGTTCCTGTGCCGCATCGGCGCGCTGGAAGGCGCTAATGGTGACTATTCTGCTCTACATCGTCTTCTCCACTCTTTTGCGCGTCTATCCTTGTCTCTCTCTCACGCACTCTTTTTCTATCAGCTATTGTCGATATCCTGCGCAAAACGGGCGCGGAACTCTCGGAGTCGAGTCCGCTCCGCTGGCGCGCGCTGCTGGCCGCCATCCGCCAAGAGCTGACTGCCGACCCTATGGACGTTGTATTTCTGCTCGAACGGCTGCTGCAACTGGACGCGACGATGCCTTCTGGCGCTAGCCAGGCTCTGTTCAACTCGCCTTTGTTCTTCCACGTAATGACACTGAAATTTAAGCTCGTCGACGGTGAAGAAGAGACTGATAATTCTGCACCGTGACAGCTATTGGTAGAACGATTCGCAGTCGCGTTTGAAGGCCTGGACGCTGAGTTATTCAAGCTGGAGAGCGATGAACTGTGCCATGCTGAAGGTATCTACGAGACGTGTGTGCTGCTCCAAGACAAGATGGAAGAGTACGGAGTATGGCTCGTGAATGAGTGAGGAGATATACTGACAGCGTGAAAATGACGACAGAAGTGACAACGAGTCGGGACTGAAGAAGTTCCTTACGACGTATAAAAATATCTTCGAGCAGGACGAACCAAAGGTTCGTAAGCTCAATAAACTGGAGGTTTTCTAACGATAACTAACTGATACTTAATGCCAGGATTGCTGGGAGGCGTTTTACGAGCTGTACCATTTGAACGACGCTGCTTTCCGACGAGATATGAACGGAGCTATGTCCATGATCGAGTCTGTCGCTCTAGGCCCCACAAAGCTCGAACTGGCATTCCCACCCAAGGCTCCTGAAGGTCACAAGTAAGTGGCTATGAAGGGTGTTGAGTGTCTGACATGTAGTACTAAATACGGGCTACTTTCCAGCAGAATAATGACGCCACGTGCGAACTTGGAGAAGCGATTTATGGAGACTCGACGAGAATGGCGAGATATGTCGCCGTTTATCTCCCTCCCCGGAGTTGGTATTGGCCTGAGTGGGACAGTTGAGCCTCAGCGACAGCAAGAACGGCAGGATCAAGAAGACGAGGAGGAACAAGAGCAAGAGCAAGAAACACAAGAGCCTGGATCCCCCGGTAATACTCACGACGAAGCGCCACCCTTCCCTTCTGAAGCTCAGGATTGGGTCTGGTCTACGCGCGTGCCGTTCTCTTGTAATTCTGCGTTTGCAAGTCATATCGACTTAGAGATCAGACGCTAATACTTGTTTCATGTGTTTGGTGCAGTGAATGGCGGATCGACGGAGTCTGTAGACTCGGACAGTGCAGAAGACGACATACAAGAGCGACCAGTACCCTCCAGACCACCGCGAGCAGCAGAAATTGCCAGAGCCACTCGCCAAGACAGTCGTCGGGCAGCTCCTCAAAAACGGGTAAGAACTCGGGTTGTTGTGCCTTACTTGTAGTTGTCTACATCTTCATACGTTGGTCCTCTCGTAGATGCCAGAAGAACGCGGAGCTGTGGTTAACGCTTTGGCCATTGTTCGCCCCGGTGGCAGACGTAAACGAGTGCGTTGGTCGGAAGAGGAAGAAGCAGCGCTCATCGAGGGCTATCGACTGTACGAGTCGTACTCGAACGTGTGGGTCCTCATCAAGTCCAAGTTCCCAGACGTGCTCCACCATCGCTCAAACGTCGATCTCAAGGATAAATACCGCAACTTGGTCCGATACGGTAAAATCCCGCAAGCCTTCGACACCACTGGAGCCACGGACAACGATGCAACAGACGACAATGCGATCATCGAGGACCAAGTTGAAGAAAACTAACGTCTCTGCTCTTCAAATTTGAGTTCATTTGTTTTACAAACTAAAAACAATCAGACGCGAAGGACTGACGCAAATGGCTACAACTGCGTCCTTCCCTTCCTCGCTGAAAATCCAAACAAACGCACTCGTGACTTTCTCGCTTCTCCGCTCCACTGGCCAACGTCTGTACCCATCGCTCCCGTTTCGTATGTGCATTTTTGTTTTTAACTCTTCTCTCCGAGTTGTACTTCACGAGGGTGTTTTGTGCTGGTTATTGTAGTCGCGAAGTCCCCTACATGCAACGTCCTCTGTCCTTCTTTTAGCTTCGTCCTCGGTGCTTGATGACTTCCTCCCTTCCAGTTGTCAACTCTTGCAGCCTCTCGTTTATTTTGACGAGACGAGTGGACAAAGCAAAAGACGGAGCTGGGATCACTTAACATGGATCGCACTTACCCTCGCCCGACAGAGCCGCTCATGGACAAGTCGTTAGGCGTGTTGTACGTGAAACCCTGGAACGTCATGGACGGACGAGAGGCGTCGGACACGCGCACGCCTCCCAGCGCCGAGTTCTCGACGCTGTTGATCTGCATCTTAGTGAACTCGGCCTCAAAGTTTTTAGTCTCCTCGGCATTACCGGCAGCGGCACAAGGGTTGAACGGAGGCGGGATCTTGCGGTCGTACAGATCCTGCCAGCTCATGCCGCTAAAGTACGGGTGGTTCTTCACCTCGTTGGCACTCTTGCTACCTAGGCGCTTAATGGGGTCACGTCGCAGTAATCCACCGATAAAGTCGCGAGCAACGGGGTCCACGTCGTCCGGGAACGTCAACGGAGCGTTACGCACACGGTCGAACAGCTTCTGACGGTTGCGAGTGTACCAAGGCGGCAAGCCCGTCAGCATTTCGTACAGCACCATGCCCATTGCCCACCAGTCCACAGCTGTGCCGTGACCAACGCGGTCCAGAATCTCAGGAGGCAAGTACTCGGGCGTTCCACACATCGAGTTGGTGCCTTCTGCTCCGTCAGTGATACCCTCCTTCGCAAGTCCGAAGTCAGCTGCAATCATAACAAACATAACCGTTAAAAACATGCAGCTACGTGCAGTTAATACTTGGGTTAACCTGAAACGTACCCAACAAAACGTGGCCAACAGAGTCAAACAGGATATTCTCTGGCTTCAAGTCACTGTAGGAGCACATTTTCAGCGTCAGAATGCGAATATTGCAAATATACACACAACGCGTCAGTCTTACCGGTACACAACACCGAGGTCGTGCAGATGCTCCAGAGCTAATGTGATCTCAGCGCAGTAGTAGCGAGCCATGCTGGGCTCGAACTTCTCCATCCGTGACAGGTGGAAGAAGAGCTCGCCACCCGGACAGTAATCCAGCACGAAGTAGAGTTTCTGCGACGTCTGGAAGGCGTAGTGCAAGTGTACAATGAACGGATGCTTGGCACGGCCCAGCACACGTCGCTCCGTGCGCGTGTGCTCCACCTGGTTGCGTCGCTTGACGTTGGACTTGTTGAGCGACTTCATGGCGAACAAGCGCTTGCCTTCCTTCTTACGCACGAGCGTCACCTTGCCGTACGAGCCCTTGCCGATGACCTTGAGCAGCTCAAAATCGTCCAGCGACGTCTTGGGCGTGTTGTACATGCTCGTTTCGTCCTCCGAGGACTGCGATGGAGGCGGCGTGGCATCGTACGAGATGGCCTTGGTTCCTTGGTACTTCTCCGAAGGCTCCTTCTGCTCATTTTGCCACAAATAAGAACATTTCGCCATAAACAATTAGAAAAGTCGTGCCAAAAATAGCGAAATTTTTGGCAAATCGTACGTTTGTGAGCATAAACTCTTTGAAAAGCTCCGATGTGCGCGGGTCCGAGTTGCCAGACGCAGGGTCGAACTGGCACAGCAAGTGGAGCCAGTTGGCCAGCTCTTGCTGACGTTTCTCGATGAACTCCTTGTTGAACGAGCCCAGGAACTTCTTGGGTGGCAGCGCCGGGCAGCGGTAGCCTTCGCTTGACAGCTAGTTGTACCCATAACCGATATGATACATGTTAGTAACCTGTCTGATCCGTAGTGCAGGTTCCAGAGAGCTCTCCCGAGCTGCATGCAGCTTGGCGGTGGAGCGCACCTTGTCGTGGAAATCCTTAAACTCGTGGTAGCGGTGCTTAACGACGAACATGCCCTCGGGTACCTGAACCTGCACGAAGTAGACGGTGGTCTTGCTGCCATTGTGGCTCACGTTGTCGTGGCCCATGATGCCCACGAACTTAGGACCGCGGTAGTCGTCCGGAGAGCTCATCTCTGCTTCCCCGCACTTGTACTAACAATTACTATTGGGAGAGGGTCGAGGAGCAGGAGATCGATGTCACCTTCGCCTCGCCTTCCTGTCTGGAGAATGCGACTGAGCTCAGCACCCGAGACTCGGACTCTGTGAAGTGCTGTGGTTTGATTGTACAGAGGTCGAGTTGCGCAATGAGGGGACAGCGAAGACTTGAGGTTTGTAAGCGGCCTCTTCCGTCGTGCTAGGCATCGAGCAACCAGAACACTAGCGTGGATATGATTGGTCAATACATGTGAAGATAAACGGGGTGAGGAAGAGATCAGCTCGTATAAAAGGATAATGCCGTATTATAGTTTCAAGTTGCTTTGCATGGAGGACTTCTTTTACTGTACTTAAGGATTCCAGCTTGCTTTAAAGCATGCTGGAATAAAAGGTATGCCCTACAAGGGGATTACTCTGCATTGAACTGGTCAGCGCCTATCCGGCACCAGCTTCGAGCCCACACCGGCCGGGATAAGAAATTGACGATGCAATGGCGACGCGACGGCCGCGACTCGACGCTGCCATCACAACGTGTACGCCTGACGACACAGAGGCGGCATCACAGAACGTTAGTCTGAAGCGCCGAGGCGTTGGACCGCGTGGTTAGATTCGCCGCAACCTCTGGATTCCCATCGCCGCCGTCAGTGCAGCCAGCAACGTTGAAGCGAGATGATGACGTATTTAATATCTGTTCGGCTTCTTCTTGCCACTTGCATGTACTGTAGTACAATATCTGAAACTGCGTGTGGGCGGCAGCGGACCATTACAGTTCAGTAGCGCCGCACTGGCGTTGGTCCTACCTTTGTGGAGCAGCCCGAATTGGAGAACCGCTAGTGACACTTGAAGTGTGCCCCGTTGGGCTGGTGCTGTACTGTCCTCGCAGAACCAGAGCAAGGGCGAGAGATGCCAACGCCGCACGCCGGGGAGGCGGTCATGGCCCCTGCTTGGTAATAATACCAGTATTTGTCACTTGGTTGAATAACTATTGGAAACCGGTATCCACCCCTGAACTTCGAGCATCATCAGACCACGCGACACTCTCTGCGTGGACGGACTCGTCCTTAGATATCCTACGCTGGACGCTCTGGGCTTGCAGCTATATGTATTATTATGTAATACATGCCACCACGCGCTTAGTTGTGTCATGATCACTTTCATTTTCAGGTCAACTGAGGCCTCGGATGTTTATGGCATCCTGTCAATATTATCAACGACATATTAATGGCTATAAATACGTTTTGTCGTGCTATTATTGGCCAGATTGGAGCCGTTTCAATCTCCAAAAGGCAGCGCACACAACGTCTTCGACCTCGTAGGACCATGCCGATGGCTGTCGCTCCGTCCTTCGACCCGCTACCGCCATCCCCACCCATAGCCATGTTGCCCACCATCAACGTCAATGCTGTGTGCATCCGTAATGGCCACTTCGTGGACGCCGAGGGCCGCGTTCGACTACTGCGTGGTGTGAACCTCGGCGGCTCGTCCAAACTTCCCTACGGCTACCACCACACCGACCGCCACTCCAGCAGCAGCTTCTTCGATGGAGCGCGCTCCGTTTCCTTCGTCAACCGACCGTTTACGTTGAGTGAGGCGCCCCTACACTTCGCACGACTGCAACGTTGGGGCCTGACACTGCTGCGGTTTGTTGTGACCTGGGAAGCCATCGAGCACGCCGGACCGGGCGTCTACGACAGAGAATATCTGCGGTATATCCGAGATATCATTGCAATCGCCGCAGACTATGGCCTCAGTATCTACGTGGACCCACACCAAGACGTCTGGTCAAGGTGGACAGGAGGAGACGGCGCACCAATGTGGACACTGGAAGCTGTGGGGCTGGAACCGAGGGGGCTCGAAGCCACCAAAGCCGCTCTGTGTGTGGAGACCTGTGGACTAGAAGTATCCAAGTATCCAAAGATGATCTGGCCCACGAACTACTTCAAGATGGCGTGTGCTACCATGTTCTCGCTCTTCTGGGGAGGATCCAAGTGCGCTCCGTCGTGTCGGGTGAATGGAATACCCGTGCAGGAATACTTACAATCGCACTATTTAAACGCCATGACGGAGTTAGCGGAAGCACTTAAGGGGTTGCCCAACATTGTGGGCTTTGGAACGATGAACGAGCCGTCGTCGGGGTATTTGGGACTTGAGGACTTGAACAAGCATTTCCACCATGGAGAACTCAAATATGACTTGGCCCCAACTCCGTTTCAAGGAATGGCACTGGCAGACGGATACCAGCAGGTTATTCAACGCTGGTCCAATGGTGCAAACCAGCACGTGTTTGGACGCCCAGATGAGCTGGTGACGGTGGATCCCAACGGGGTGCGTGCGTGGCAGCAAGGACGGCGGTGTATATGGAGAGATGAAGGCATTTGGGACGTGGATAGCAGGACAGGGCAACCAGTTCTGCTGCGTCCAGACCACTTTGCCGGTATCATGTTTGGAAGGGATTGCTACGTGCCTTTCGCTGCGGTAAGAATGCTAACAGATATTCGTTATATTAAATAACGTATCTAACGTTGTGGTTTTGACCAACGCAGCGCTTTGCAGAACGTATTCGCAGCGTCTTGCCGCATACTTTGCTGTTCATTGAGCTGCCTCCACTGGAGTTTAGTATTGACGCATTTCCCGAGATTGACGACACTCTCATCCCTCGAGCAGTTAACGCAACGCACTGGTACGATGGCGTCACGTTGTTTCTGCAGGCTTGGCGTCCGTACTTCACTGTGGATCCCAGGACCAAGTGCCCTGCGTTTGGCTACACTGCAGTACGCAGGACGCACATGAAACAACTAGCAGGTATCAAAGGATACGGCAGTGAGCAGATGAACAACGCTCCGACACTCATCGGTGAGACGGGGATCCCGTTTAACATGCACGGCGGCAAAGCCTTCCGAAGTGGAGACTTCAGTGCACAAGTCGGAGCTTTGGACAACACCGTGTCGTGTCTAGAGGCCAGTCTGGTCTCCTTCACGCTCTGGTGCTACACGTCCGACAACTGCAATGGCTACGGCGATCAGTGGAATTTAGAAGATCTGAGTCTGATCAGCATGGACAAACCCATCCGATCTGGAGCTTATGATTCCGTTCCAGAGCGAGATGCTTGTGCTCGAGCCGTTCGAGCCTTTGCTCGTCCGTATGCCACGCGTATTGCTGGCACTCCTTCCAAGTCCGAGTTCATTCTCGATCGAGTGCGTTACGAACTGGAGTTCGTATCGGACCCGACAAAGTCGAATGAAGGTGCGATGCATCCTACCGAGGTGTTCGTGCCGCAATTGCAGTATCCGCGAGGTTACACAGTGGAGATGTCGGACGGCCACTTCTCCGTCCAATCGCACGATGGCTGGGACATTGTGAGCTATCTGCATGAGCCATCAAAAGCCAACCACTGGTTCGTGATCACGTCCAAGGACTGGAATATCGAGAAACGTCGTCGAGCTTGCGTTGTTCGTCGGAGGATACTGATGACTCCCGTCGTCGCACTTGGTATCTACGTGCTGTATTTGATTTCCAGCTAACCACCTCATTTAGATTTTTATAACTGTAAGCTTAACCCCTCTAGCAAAAAAACGAAAGAGACGAGTTTCTTATAACTTACTTATTGGGCTGTACCGGTAATTCTAACGACGGTCGTGGGTAGTATTAATTAGTGTAATAACAAAATACATTCCTCCAGGCTATGACCCATAATATAGCACTTTTTCTCTGAAGTGATTTCAAACATTGGGTATTTTCCTGCGAAGTGCTCCTTGCCTGCTTTGCCTGATGAGGCACAAAAAAGCGAGCTTGTTGACAATGAGCCTGACATTTAACCATGAGATGTTAGTGGGGCAGCTTACGGAACGATCGAAAGATCTGCTGACAGCGTGAGCAGTAATCGATTCATTGCTCAATTATTATCAAATGTGCGGGAGCTCAACGACTCGGTGAAGCTGCTGGTGCTTGAGGTGTATTATTTCGTGCAGCTGGTGGCCACTTTCCATATTTTCCAGGGCCTCAAGTCGCCGCTGAAAGTACCCCGTAGATTGCGCACCCTTCTGTCGTTCAATTTGCTCTAGCTTGCTGTTGCTTTGAGACACAATGAGGTCATACTGGCGTCGAGCATCAGACACCAATCTCGTCTTTGCGCGTATTCGCCGATCATTCGACGCCATTTTCTCTTGCTTTTCGCGTAGCCATTCTACACGCGCTCCGTCCTCATTTTGGAAGTTTCCTGTGACGGCAGCCATGGCCAATTCCAGTTCCTTCAAATAGTTCAGACCTCCACTACGCTGTAGAATACGCACTTGCCACCTCGCACACGCTGGAAGGCGCACGATAGCACTCGTAATAGCTCCATTTTCGCTGTGTTGACGTTTATGCGCCTTCTTGTTAAGGTGCGTGTTGTTACGCTTCAACACTCCAGAAGGTGGCTCTGAAGCAACACGTACCGCCACGCCACGCTTGTGTCTTTTATCGTACACGAGCGCAAAGTCGCTCAAGACAAGGTACACGGTTGAGCAATTCAGCATGGCGTCATTGACGTCGTGCTCGTCGTCTACACCAGAGTGGTCTGTCGTCCCACCGAGTTGCTTGTGCGTTCGAGGCTTGTATCGTACAATCCGCCAGCGAGCCAAACGCATGATGCCTTCGTTGGTTTCGATTGCATGTTCTCGTGTAGCTGCATCATCACCGTAGTATTCTCTCGAAGGGGTCAGAGCTTTCATCGCCACTAGACGAAATCGCTGCTGCCCACTTAGCCGACGCTCTTCGTCCGTGGCTGCCATTCGAGCTTGTGTATTTCCAGTTGCTGATTCCTGAAGTGAAGCTGACCCACCGTCATCTAGCCATCCAGGACAGCCAAGATAGTAGTTTGTGTCACTGAGTAGCGAAGCTACATCGTCATCATCTGTTGGGTCCATGAGATGAAGACGACGAGGGTCAGACTTGCGAGGTACGAGAGCTGAAGCGTCAACACGAAGCCAGAAATCGTCTGTGGCGGTGACTTCGTCGTAACGCGCTGGGCTTCGAAAGTCCACCTGAGTAGGGACAGCATTAAGCAGATTGACTTATACTCTCAACAAGGAACAACCAACGCACAATGGTAAATGTCATGTGAGGGCCAACGGAGCTGTCGGGTGCCGAATGACTGCGGCCGTCGGGTCCGACAGCGAGGGGCAAGTTGGAGCTCGATGACAGTAGACAGATTCGATCACCAAAATGAATCGGCGTCTTGTTCGACGCGTTGCCGTCCTGTAGACCGGCACTCCTATCAGAATACAAAGGGAATTGTTGCAAAGTAAGCGGAAAGGGCAAGTACAGTGATGTAGAATGCAGGAGCTCACGGGTGGACTCGTTTCTGTTTGGTGCTTCCGTCGTCGTTCTTGAATTGCAAGAAAGCCACGTGCGCGTTCTTTATATCTCCGTAAGTAGGAGGCGGAGGCGGGGCCAGTGTCTTAACCTGTTCAAACGCACGACCTCGGCGAAGCAGTGCCATCGCTCGCAGCAGTTTTGAGTGCAGCGACTCTCGCACAGCCGGAGCTTCCTCCATGTTCTCCATTTCCTTTAACGCTGCAGCACAGACCGTAGCCAATTTCTTTAACAAATCGTCTTGTGGAACGAGTGCAACGCGGCGGTTTTGCAGATGTATTGCCTGCTCTCGGAAGATTTTGCTGGCCATAAAGTTCTGATACTGCTCGAAGGACGTCGCGCCTTCGGGAAGCTCCATGGCATCCTTAGCGAGCCGAGGCAAAGCTCGACGACGTTGACGACCTATGTTATGGTCATCTGCTACTTGCGCAGCTAGCGTCTTGTGCTTTGATGCTTTCGCCAGTAGAGGAGCCGGATGAAGCAACGGTAGAGAAGTTGACATGCTCAGCTGAGGTGCGTGCAGCTGTTGCTGGTGCAGCACGCGGAGCACATTATGACCTGCTCGTACCTGCACAACGCGCTCTCGACTGCGTTCGACGAGGTCGTGGAGGAGCTCTCGCTGCACCATGTCACCGAGCATGTAGCCATTCTGCTTGAACGTCGAGGACGTGGTCACCACAAAGTACGAATTTACGAAAACATTTCGAGAAATACCGCAAAAAAAAAACACAGAATCGTCTTGCCCTACTAAGTACGAGAGCGAGTAACCTTACTAAAATTTTGAGTAAAATTGCTCGTACGTCTGCGGTTTGGGATTATTTTCTTAAAACCGGTATTTGGTCGGTATTTTCAAGCTTAAATTTCGTCCGGTACTTGTTTACCTTAAATCAATAGTATGATAACCTTGTAAGATAACCCGAAAAACGATGATCGACCGCCGCTATCACCGCTCCTTGCAAGTGTTCTCGTGGGTTGCCTGTGCAGCCATGACGGCGAAGCTCGTGCTCTTCACCGAATACGGCACTCGGAGGGGGCATGGTGAGCACGAGCACGTCTTCACGGGGGTACGAGAGACCACATTTCGCCCGTCATTTCCATCACTAATGTCCGCATTGATGTGTGGCTCACAGATTCAGAGGTACACGGACAAGCAGCTGGACAAGTTCTTCGGCGTGGAGGACATCAAGAAGCAGGCGCAGCCCGACCAGCAGCATTCGCCCCCTGCTGCTGACAAGAAGGAATAACACAATAGACAAGTCTGCCATGCAAACGACATGTATCTACAGTAAATGCAAGAGCTACTTGCTTGCATTTGGCCCCTAGAATGGTCGTCCCTCTCTCTTAGTTGATACTTTTTACTCGCTCGGTTCATTCGGAGTATGCGCGCTGGGCTTGAACACAGCAAACTGCGGTCGCGGCGGTTTGTGCTGTGCAGTCGACCCACCACGACGAGCGCCGTACACTCCTGGACGTGAAGGTGGCGCCATCATGGCAGCCAGCGGATCCTTCTTCATCAACATGTGAGACGGCGGCGGAGCCATGAGCGCAGCTAGCGGGTCGTTACTAGGCGCAGGTCCAGAGCTGATCGAGCCAGGGGCCGAGTTTGAGCCAACCGGAGGAACGCCGACGCTAGATCCAGGCGCGCTGGCAGGCGTCGGGCCAGTAGGCGGCGCGCTGGGCATCGTCGGCTCCTCTGCAGCAGCCTCGCCTGGGAATATCCAGCGCTTGGCATCCTCGTCAAAGTAGGCTTCCATCTGTTCGCCAAGCTTAGCCACCTTGGCTTCAGGATTCATCTTTGTGGCGATAAAAGACGACAAACCAGACAACCAACCCGACCCTTTCGAGCTTCCACTAGGTGGAGGGGTCTTGGAGCGCCCCGACTTCTTGGCCTTGAGCTTGGGACTTGCCTTGCCCTTATCGCTTGATGGACCACTCATCGCGGCAGCGTCAGTAGGCGGAAGCGAAGCAGCCATCTCAGAGACCAACCCAGACGCTAATGTCTTAGGCTGACTCAAAGAGCTTATGTCGCCTGGCAGTTCCAACGGAGCTGGTTTCTGGAATGCCGGGCGTGCTGTCGGTGTGCCTTGTGAATGCTGCGAGTACTGGGAGTGCTGCGACGTCTGCGATGACGGAGGCTGCTGGTGCATCTGCTGAGGCGGATACTGCGGCGTATTGTTCATAGCTGACGGCATTTCGTGGAAGCTACTACTGCTGTGCGTGCTGTGGTTGCTTCCAGGAGGTTCCATCGAGTGCTGCTTCCGCATCAATGGCACAGAACCGTGCTTCTGAGGACCAAGACGTCCATTCCCCGAGAACGGGCCAGGCGACTGATGCTGAAGACCTGGACGCCCGTTACCGGAGAACGGGCCCGACGGGGGGATACTGCTGCTGGATGCCTGTCTCGCGTAGGGACCTGCAGGTGACGCCACCGAAGGACGGTTGAAGCCATTCGACGAGCCCGGGCCGCTTCCTTGTGACACTGGTGGAGTCGCGTGGTTATAGGAAGTGGTAGGCACAGGTCCATGCGAACTAGGCGGTGGCGTCATGTGCGCATGAGGTGGCGGGGTTTGCTGCGGGTATGATGGTGCAGGCGACGAGGTCGATGCCGGCACAGATGGAGTGCTCGGGTAGTTCGCTGCTGGTGGATTCGCCTCGTTCGCGTACAAACCACCAGGTGATGCACTCGGACCCGTAGACGCGGCAGTACTGGAGTCGTTGCCTTCCACCACGCGATTCACGATTTTGCCCATAATACTCAACGCACTACCCAGACCCCACTTGCCTTGCTTGCGACTTCCACTACTAGTCGACGCCGCCACTGAGGCCACTCGGTCTTGACCGAGATGTTGGCGCAATCGGTCATCCAGCACTGTGAGCTGGTTCTGCATGCCTTCTAAGTACATGGAAGTCCCGGGCTTCATCGTCGCCGTCACCGCCTTGATCACCGTCAGCATGGACGTGACATACTTAAACGCAGTCTCCATTTTCCCGTGATCCGCCAACAGCATAGCATAAATAAGCTTGTAGCCTTGGAAAGGAATCATCAGGTTTGCCGAGGCGCCCTTAGCTTGTTTCTGGGCCCATTCATACACCTCCGTACGCTGCACCGCTCCAGGCGACACGTAGAATCTCGCTTCTGTTGGTGTGCGGTGGTCCCCACCCAAGAGCGCCATTTTCGACGTCGGCATGGGCGCTTCCACTTGAATTCCTGCTAGCAAGTAGCATACATGGGCTGCAGCAACGGCATTAACTTCGGTCCATAACCGGTCTCCGAGTTCCGTCAAGATCTTGTTAGTGTCTGCAGTCCGATTGGCCAGGAGAACTTGAACATGCGAGACCCACGTTGACAGCACGAGAGAATCCGACGACTGCTGGATGTTCGTTTGCAGTAGACGCTTCGGTTCTTGCACGCTCTTCTCCTGTTGATCCGCGAACGACATGAACAAGGCGCGGCTTGGATCCCCCGTCGCATATGTTTCGTCCAAGTAGGTGCGCAGGACTCGCTGACGGACACAGGAGATCAAGAAATTAAAAGACATAAACCTGTATTTGATCCCACTTGGTGTCAGGACGTACCTTGTACTCTTCCTTGTCGGTAAACGAAGCGATCAGCATAGCCTCTGGCCACATGTGGGCGCTCATAGCAGTCGAGACCGCACCCTTACGGTCACCAACTAACAGCAGTTCGCGTAGTTCGTTTGCATGCTTCTGCATCAGATCCGGGTGCTAGCAAATACAAAACACACGTTAGCTTGAAGATGACTCTCTTCACATGATACCTGCTTACCGTTGCAGGTTGAAGCTTCCGAAGCGGAAACGTTGGGAGCTGGTTACCACTTCGCCGCTTGCTGCTTTCACTGAGTAGTGCGATCAATTGAGCCTCTGGCGAATCAGGATCGCTGGGGTTCAATGTGCCAGGATCCGAGCGCAACTTTCCATTGCATTTTACCATGACACGCAGGATGCCCAGAAGCAAGCGATCGTTCTCGTCCTCAGCCTCAGCAATACTAGTAGGTGCCTCGCTACGCTTCAGTCGGTCATTCAGGTACTCTAGAATTGCCTCGTCAGACACGTTTTCCGTCAGCGGGCCAGGGAACATGTCCATCTGTTCAAACTCCTTGTTCTTCGGGTGTAGTTGGTCCATGCGATACAAATTCACCGGTCCTTTGCGAAGTTCACCTTTGCCACCGTTATCGAACGCAGACGGTCTGAATTAATGTATGTAAAACGCAACAAGACAATGTTAAAGCAGGCAATACGACGGTAAAATTCACTGGTGAGTACGTACGTTGCGGGACCTCGAGGACTGTTGCGGAAGCTGCTTCCTGCGATATTCAGTCGCAGTTTCCTCTTAGGGAACATTGTCACCACGTTGCCACCAAAGCCGAATGACGCAAGACACGATGGAGCGGCGACACAAGGGTCCTTGAACTTGTTGCTAGTCTTCACGACAGGCGCTGCGACAGAATGGGACGTCTGGTGTGCGTTACTCGCTCCATATTTATGGCCAACTGCAGTACCGTAATCAGCAGCATTATAACCTGCAGCTTGTGATTGTCCGGCACCACCACGATAGCCGTATCCAGTCGTATCACGATGCTGCGGTTGCTGCTGCTGATACTGCTGATACTGCTGGTTGGACTGTTGCGTCTGATGCTGTGAGAAGTTAGCGGGACTTGACCTGCCAGCTCCAGGAGCACCAGAGTCAAAATAATTTCCTGGACGTGCTGCGTACAAGGCATCCGTACCAGCACCGGCGTGCTGGAAAGACGAGTGAGTTTCTGCGACTTGCATCCCCACAGCCGCACTACCGTGCGCCTGGCCCTGTTGCTCTTGTTGGTGATGGTATACTGTCTGCTCAAATTGATACGATGAAGGCCCAGCCTCTGCCTGTGGCGCCGGCGAGGATGAAAAGAAATCCGACGAGGGGCGCTGTCCACCGAAATCTTGTGCGTTCGAACCAGAAAACCCGTCGAATGCTTGAGGCTGACTACCATTTTGGTCGTTAGCAAACTGCGACGCCTCAAGGTCCGTAGTGTTTGTTGACAGGTGCCCAGCATTAATATTGGTAGCAGTGGACTGGAATGCACCAACATTACTGGAGTCGCGCTGTCCAATGTCACTTGGCATAGCGGGCATACCACTTGTTGCTGTGACATCAGTCGTCGGGGTCGCTTCAGGTGCAGGCACTGAAGACGCAACTGTACTCGCTCCGATGTCGAATTCGCGGTGGGTTTCTGGGTACGTTTGCTGCTGTTCCTGCACCTGCTGCGGAACGGGTGCAGCGGCCTGAAAGCCCGGCATGCTTGAGCCAATAGTCCCCTGGTGCTGCTGCGCCTGCACTTCTGACGAGTCTTGCGCAGCAGAGCCAAAGAATGATGACGCTGTTGCTTCAGTCGTGGAAGCTCCACCAAAGAATGAGTTCGCATCCACCGGAGAACGCGGTGGTTCTTCATGGTGCTGGACATTTTGCTGAAGCTGGAAAGACGTGTCGCTTTCAAATCGACTCATTGAAGAGCTAGAAGCTGGACGCGACAAACTGACATTGTCGATTGAGCCGTACGATGTGTTCAAGTCATGAGACTGCGTTGAAGGTCGCATCCCGGCTGCACTTGTCGACACATGAGCACCGTGCTGGTCCGCATACGACGACGCATTACTCCCACTTCGCGAAAATGAAGGCTGGGCCGGTGGTTGCTGATAAACTGATCCTGTCGGCACAGACGAACGTCCAAAGAATGCATCAGCCGATGTTCCAGACGATGACCGCGTGTGGTCGCCCAATCCCCTCGCAGCGCTTCGACCAAAGTCCGAGTGATTCAAATCCTGCTGTCCACCATACGCTCGTTGGGCTGGGCTAGCACTCCCGAAAACCTCTGGTGCAGCATGGTGGTTGTACTTGTTTGGTGTTCCGAAAGTCGATCCTTGTCCAAGCTGATGGTGTGGTGGCTGAGCTGGGCTGCCAGCAAAAGCTGATGTCGCGGGTTGCTGGCTGTAGCTGTCTGGCGTCCCGGGAGCCGACTTTTGATTGCTATACCGATTCTGCCCTCCGAAGACGCTCGTCTCACGCTGAGCACTGTTGCTCGTAAACGAGCTCGTAGATGATTGGCGGCTGAAATGACCTGCAGTACTCATTCCCGCTCCAACACCGCCGCTTTGTCCATAGGAAGCACCCGCCGTTTCTTGATGCGAATAGGACGTTGCAGTACTTTGAGCATTTTGGTTGTGGCTCTGGGTCCCACTATACGAAGCGCTTGGTCCGACTGACTGCTGTCCGAAGTGGCTCGCCGCGCTGTTATCAGGTCGTGAATACCCACCAAAGACAGCATCTGCAGAAGCCTGAGCACTTCCACCAAAGTGCGAGGAGCCACGATCGACGCCAGCACTGAAGACGCTACCAGCAGATGGAGCGGCATTTCCGAAGCCATGTTGAGCACTACCACCTCGCGAAGCAAATGGATCTGCAGTGTTGTAAGAACTTTGCGACTCGAAAGGGCTCGCGGAGGAACTTGCTGCTGGCTGGTCGAAAGGACTTGAGGCAAACTGACTCTGAGCAGAAGTAAAAGTCGATGCACCGCTGCCAGAATAACCACCACGCCCAGCCTGATTGTATCCCTGACAGAAATCATCACACAGGATTATTACCAAATAATTTGAATGGATATCTTGCCAGACAGAGTAACTCGTACCTGATCGTTCTGGAAACTTGAGTGCGGCACCGGCTGACCAAATGCACTTGTAGAAGGACCCGAGCCAAAGAGATCACCTGCATCTGAAGATTGGAGCTCATGCTCCTCAGTAGGCTTCGTTTCTGCTGGTGGTGCAGCAGGCGACGCACCAAACGAGCTGAATGGATTGGGGACATCAGCGCCAGCAGTGGCACCAAAGAGCGACGCAGCACTCTCAACGCTCTCATCCTTAATAGCGTCTCCGTCCTGGTGATCAAAACTGGAATCTGTCGACGCAGCAGGTGGTGCTCTGGTCGCGTGCTGAGATGGAGGGAAAGTACTCGGTGAGCTTGAAAATGGATTAGCATCAGCCGACGAATCATTTCCAAACATCGAAGAGGCAGTGGCTGGTTCAGACTCTCCAAACGCAGCTACCGGGTCGGAGTCTGGCGCAGATGATGCAAACGGTTCCTGCACTTCACGACGTTCAATGCTTTCCGTCACGTAGTGACCACGCGTTGAGTTAAACTCCGAGACTAGTCGCGGGTTCGTGTTTACAGACTCGCACATGCTGGTTGCTTCAGACGCGTTTCCATCCGAGAATCCCCCGTCACTGCCATTGTCGGAACCACCGATTGTCGTCCCAGGCGCCGAGAACTGACCTTCACTTACCGATGGGTAATCCGTACCGAAAGCTGTACTAGCGTTGGATGAGTCCACCATACTCGGTGTTTCAGACACCGTACCGTCCGAAAAAGCGCCACCTTCACTGACATGCTCCGACCCGCCAAATGTAGCACCCGCAGACGATACCCCAAAAGACGCTATCGAACTGCTGCCATCATGATCCGTGCTCGCTACAGACGATTGATACATGCGATGGCTTGCAAACGACGACTGGGAACCTCCATACAGAGACGAAGGCCGTCCCGCAGACGGGAAAAATGAGTTTTCACCAGAAAACGACACAACTGAATCGCGCTCTTCTTCATCGCTTTGGCCCTGACGGGTGTCGCGATGAGATTCGCCCTCGTGCTGCTGATCATGTCCACCCGAGCGCAATGAACCAGCGTCCCACCTTACTCCCGAGTTCTCATAGGAATCCTGACCCTCAGCTCTCTCACCATCTGTAAATGCCATCGAATTGTGCTGGGTTTGGTCGTCACCGTGTGCGGCAGCACCAGAGAATTCGTCCTGAAAGCCTGAGTTGCCATCGCCTTGGGGCGATGGTAGACGTCCAAAGGAACCACCAGTGCCAGTCGGAGTATGCAGGAAACGAGCGCTGCGAGGTGCCTCCGGAAAGACATTGGGGTCACTGTCTTGGCTGCCAGTCGTAGCAATGGCATTTGAGAACGGTGACGTCTCGGTATCTAACGATGTAGCTGGTTTCGCCTCAAAACTCCTCTCAGCAGAATGCAATCGTGGTGGTTCCTCTTGAAGCTTCGAAGGCGTCACAGGGGAGGCTGCCACGTCTGAAACTATTTCTTCTTGGGTAGCAATCTGGGTCGCTTCGGATGCAGGGTACTCGGAAGCAAACACCGTCTTTTGAGCCTCAAGTGGCAACGTTTCCTGTTTCGGTGGGGACTCAGCAACAGGAGTAGAAAGAGGCGGCGGCGGCTGAGACGGAAGTGAGAAGGACGTATCTTGTCCAGAAAAAGCGGAAGCAGCAGACTCTCCATGCACGTGCTGAACCGCGGCCGTCTGGCCCTTAACAGTCTCATCCCAGTCCTCATCTGCATGATCATCGTGGTCAAACAACTCGTCTTCATCGCCATCTCCCCAAAACTCACCGGCAGCACCCCCAGGACTAGCAAGCTCGACGGGCGCTTTCACAAGCGTATCTGTCTGAATATTTGTCGTTGTTGTCGTGGTGGTAGCTAGCGTACTGATGGTGGTAACCTCCCGCGTCTCCAGTGCATGCGATCCCTTCGCCACTGATTCTTCATGCTGACCCCAGTCCTCCTCCCATTGCTCATCCTGCTGGTACGACTCGCCCGCCGTGGAGGCTGTAGCCGGGGGAGCAGTGTGAGTCAAATCTTCGGTCGCAGTGAGCGAATTCGGTTGAAAGACGCTTTGCGCCGACTCAGTGGGGAACAAAGTCGACGGCGACGTGACATCAAGAAGAGGAGGAGGAGCTTGAGCATGAACGTGCTCAAATGGCGATCTGGCGTCCTGAGGCGGCACCTGCATATTTGTGTAGCTCTTCGTCTCAAACGTGGGATGGGTCTCCTCGGTAGAAAGCGAAGTTTGCGGCACTGCAGCAGGAGGTGCAAACGAGGACTGAACCTGGGCGTGCTCAAACTGCGATTTCTTTTCCAGCGAGGGCATCTGAGCAGCGTGAAAGCTCGTCGATTCAAACACACCAGTCGCTGGTTCCGTCAAGAAGCTCGTTGCCGGAGGTGGTAGCGCCATGGCTGTCTCCCCCTTCGTCTCAAACGTACTAGCAGTAGATGCTTCAGTCGCGGGTATTTCAAAAGCCGGTGGCTGCGTAGGCGAGGTCTTTGTCTTCGGAACAGGCGATGCGAATGCATCGTCATCATCTCCCCACGCAAACTCGTCCACCGGAGCTTCCGCTGCCGCTGCAGCTGCGGCTGCCAGTACTGTAGCTGTTGTCATCTCTTTAGTTTCAGTCTCATCCGCTGGGTTCGAAAGCACCGCCGAGGGCGAGTCGCACTTCCAGCCATCATCGCTATACAGATCTTCAGCGTCTTCCATCGAGAATAGCTGTGTCGGCTTGGATCCAGTCGTAGTTGAATTCGTCGTTCTGCTCGACTTTGCGTTAAAACTAGCAGTAACAGGAGCGGTATTGGCCGATACAGCCGCACTAGCCACTCCCGTCACGCCCAATCCTCCGCCACTAATACTCATCGTCGAGGAGCTTGTCGAGGTCGTAGTGACGCTCCTGTTGACGCCTGTAATACTCAGGGATCCGACTGAAGGCATGGGCGGGGGTGGTGTCACCCGTTGGCTGCCTAGTCCCCCAATTGGTGGCGGTCTCCAGCCAGATGACAAGGATGTAGTCGATCCCTGGCCCGAGGCGGACACCGGTCGCATAGTCATGCTACTATAGCTGCGGTTACTGCTGGTACTGGCGTTGCTGCCTGCGCGGCTACGTGATGCGTTGTCGATGCCCAGTGACGCGAAAAAATCCTGATGCGCCGCGGCATTTGCAGGCTTCTGACGCAGCCGCGTGCCGGCGCTCACAGGTCTGGCACGGGTAGAACCGGCATTGATGGCACCTGGGGGAGCACCCGCGCTAGGCGTTGAGCCTGCGGCGGAGAAGAAGCCGCGGCTCCCGTCCATCGTCGCTTCCTCTGCTTCGTGTGCGCTTGGATGCGGTTTCGACTTTGGGACTCATACCATCACTCTTGAAGATGGTATATGCACTATTTTCCCTCGAAACAGTGATGGGTCAGATGACGTGGACAGTACTACAAGGACTCTGATAGACTGTAATTTGCAGTCGGCTTCGATGTTCGGTAGATGTTCAGACGCTCCGTTGCAGTCTGCATTGCAGATGGTGTCGAGTCATCTACACAGCAGCGGACATCACAAAGAAACTGAGATAGTAGCTACTGCAAACTCGCGTATAGTACTAACGTCAAAATTAAATTCTGAAAGTAGTACAGTAGATTAAAAAAAAGGTATTGGAGCAGTCATTCATTTGATCTTTTGAAGAATAGGTACGCCTGATTTGCTACCTAAGATTTATAAGCGGTACAGAAATAATAACTTTTTTATTTCTGGACCGCTTTTAGTTAAAAAGTAAGGGTTAGGAATTAAAACAAAATTTGGTCAGGGTGCTCATTAAAGATTTTATTACTTTGAAGCGGCCTTTCACCGGCAAGTCTCTAAATCGTGGCACATGCCTTTTCCGTGAAAAAATCTAGCTGTCATAGAGGATCATGATGTCGAGTGATTTGGTCATTGCGCTGAAGACTACAGTGATTAGTGTATCGACGTTTTGAACTCCTTAAACCGGATTACATTCCTCTAAATCGGATCTTCTTACCCTAGTCGCATCTTCTTTTATTTAGCCGTTAAATCGGTCTCCGAGTATGGCAAAAATAATCCGTATCTCGGTGCAAATCCACAGCAAGCCGGCGATTCACCGCCACGGTGTCTCATCCGTCGAGTCGCTGGCGGTGCAGAGCGCGGAGAAGCAGAAACACTAAGAAGGATGCCGGTCGAGGTGCAGCGCAAACTGACGGTGCTAGGCTACCCGGGCGTGGGCAAGTCGTCGCTCACCACGTGCTTCGTGGAGAACCGCTTCGTGGAAAACTACGACCCGACCATTGAGAACACCTTCCACAAGACCATCCGAGTGCGGAACGCCCACTTTGTTACGGACATCGTGGACACCGCAGGCATGGTGCGAGCATCATTTGGCGTACTACGGAGCTGTAGGAGCTCTATAGCTAATGTGTTGCTGGAATTCTATGGTTATAGGACGAGTACGCCAACTTCTCGCAGGCTGCGTCAGTGGGCGTGCACGGCTACGTGCTTGTATACTCGATCGGCTCGCGCACGTCTTTCGAGAAGCTCAAACTCATTAACGAGAAGCTAGTCAACATGTTGGGCTCCAAGCCGCCGCGTGTGCTGGTGGGCAGCATGTCAGATCTAGAAAAGGCCAGGCAAGTGCCGCCCGCAGATAAATGCTGGTGGGGAGCGCGGTGTTGATGACATGACCGTGTGTATTGTAGAGAGGTGACCGTAGAAGAAGGCCGGACGCTGGCAAGCGATTGGGAATGCCCCTTCGTGGAATGCTCAGCTAAAGACAACGAAAACATCAGTAAGGATTTAGCGTCTATAGAAGAATAAAGCTGTTCATGGGTGATAAATTACTAAGCTTGCTGTGAGTTACTTTCCAGCGCGCTTCGCGTTGTCATGCCCGACGTCGGGCACTCATGCATCGGAACACTGGAAGTAGGTTACTAGTTCTGACAGTGTGAAAGCATCGAGTTGGACCGAACATTTGTGCAGTGCGTGCTCTGTATTGTAGTAGCTGGGTACGAACAGCAGCGCAGTTACTGATCCGGTTGATGGAATGATGTGACTATAATGCCAAAGGAATCCAGCTTGTAGTAGCTTCACCTTGCTCGTGAAG